AAAACTCTGCAGCACAGAGAGACAGACAAGGTTTATGTATCTGATTCTTGGAATGTAAATCAAGCAGTTCATGAGCTAAATTAGTGGGTGGATGATTTATTTGTTTTCTAGTTAGACTTGCCATTGAAGAAAGCACATCTCTAAATTGTGACAAAACTCCCATGGTATTCAGTACACATCTTGTTATTTTCTTTCAAATGGGGTAGGAAGGACGCTTTTTCTCAGCTTTGATTAGTGTTAGCAGGACATTGGACACTGGATATATTGGATATATATTTCTCTTTGGAACATCCAATTTATTCCAGACATTGGAAACTAAGGTCCTCCCCAGGACTAGCGCAGAAATAAACAGGATGAAGTGCCAATCTGAAAAAACCTCAAGATTTCTGAAGATTCATTGTGTAAGTGTCTTTACTTTTGATACTTAAGTTTTTCAGTCAGTTAATGTTTTTGCCATCGGTATCAATGGAAGTTACAGAAGAAAATGCATGCCTTGAAAGGGTGTGTTGGCCACTGACTTCACTTCAGTGTAGTAGATTCCCCTGCTGCTTCATTAACTACTTGTACAGGCTGTCAGAAGTTTTCTACCACCGCTGCTACTTGGTACTATCCTACAGCAGAACCCCATGTCACCTGTCTAGCGAACCCAAAAGTTGAACTCACGTAGAGTATTTATGATCTGAGCAGCATGAACATACAGGATTTTCTTGGAGAATCTCACAAAGTCCCAGAACAGATGAGGCTGGAAGGGACTTCTGGAGGGCATCTGGTCCAACTCCCCTGCTCAAGCAGGGCCACCTAGAGCTGGCTGCACGAGACTGTGTCCAGATGGCTTTTAAATATCTCCAAGGATGGAGACTCCACCACCTCCTTGTACAACCTCTGACAGTGCTCAGTCACCCTCGCAGTGAAAAATGTTTCCTGATGTTCAGAGGGAACCTTCTGTGTTTCAGTTTGTGCCCATTGTCTCTGGTCCTGACACTGGGCACCACCCAAAAAAGCCTGGCTCCATCCTCTATGCACCCTCCCTTCGGGTAGTTATACACTGATGAGATTCCCCTGAGCCTTCTCTTCTCCAGGCTGAACAGTCTCAGCTCTCTCAGCCTTTCCTCAGGGGGAAGATGTCCTAGTCCCTTCATCCTTCCCCCTAACCATCTCCTACAAATCAGCTGATCTGGCTTTCTACATTTTCTACACAATGCTGCCTCTTAATGTAGGAATATTGTGGCCTATGTTTCCTCTGCAAAATCTGCTCCACTTTTTTTTGGTTTAAGGTTTCTTTACTTATCTCTGTGCCAGGTAACAAGCATAAAAACATAATGAAACTGAAAGAAAAATTCTGCAAGTACCAAGAAATGTATGCATATCTTAAAATATGTTTCATAAGTAACAGGTAGAATTATACTAAAATAATATGAAAGCCTTTCAACCAAAAATCCTCTCAATGAGACTTTCACATACCAATATCTGTGAAGGTAAGTATCTCAGGAAATTTTCTGTATACTATTCAACTGATTCTGTCTGATTATCACAGAGTTACATTCTTCTGCTTAGATCTATTAGGCCATTACACAGTCACAGTGGAGAGGCATTTATCCTCAACATTTATGCTTAAAACGGGGTAGAAAGCCAAGTGCCAGTACTTAAAGTTTTCCTGAGTGTTAAAAATGAAGTAACCTTGTGGGATATTTTGGAAATACTAAACTGCATTTTATGCATCTCATAACTGTAGAAAATTAATCCTCCATCAAATACCCCGTTGTATATCACCAGCAATCTCACTTTAGGTTTATTAGAACTCATCTTTTTTTTTTTTTTTTTTTTTTTTTTACCGATAGTCTAACATTCCCTGCTTCAGAATATTTTTCCCCTCAAAATTTTGTCTGAACAGCATAAAACAGTCAGTACACCAAAAGAACCTGACAAAAGTACACTTATATTTGCTTGTACCAGATTAGAGAGTATAATAGCAAGACTTTCACTACGTGCCTATTAACCCCTGTATCGTAAGAGAAACAAGAGTTAAACCGATGGGTTTGTGCAGGAGATTAAGATGATTGTAGCAGAAGCTGTATGTCGCTCTCCAAAAGCACCCGCTACTGCCACCTACAGACGAAACGATTCACAGCTCCTGCCTAAAATCAGAAAATCTATTCTTTTATCACAAGACAGCAAGAGTAGTAATAAGTATACCCCAGGGAATAAATCTACAGTTCCCCAAACAATTCATAATTTAGAAAAAAAAAAAAAGTTTTGTGATGTTAAAAATAACTGGCACCTTACTTCTGATTTACCAGTGACACATAAAATTTCAGGTAAATACTTTCAGAAATCTCTAGGCTTTCAGAATTTTCTTAGAAACAGGAAATCACTGAAATAAACAACTTGCCTTTGCTTAGGTAGTACCTTCTTCTAACGACACAGCAACTAAACTTTACCTATGGCCTGAAAATGGGTTGAATATACCACCAAATAGGTGTATAAGTGTGATACAAAATCAGCATACCAGGATACCTCAAGATTAGGTAAGTCCAAGTCTAGTCACAGTTTCTTATAAAACAGTATACAGGAAAAGTATATGGGAAGAGGCTGGAATATTGTATATAGGGGTGTCTTGCTCACTTCAGCAGCATACCTACACACAAAAAGGTGTCTTTGACCTGAAACATCCTTTCCGTTGTCTGTAGTTTATGCTTAAATGAGCTTGCAAATAAAAAATAAATGTAATGGTTTTATATCTCAAATAAATAAAGTTTTTATTTATCAGATAAATCAAAGAAATTGGCTTGAAGGCCTAAATATAGGGATGGCCAGTATCTGTGCTGTGGCACAGTTTCCATCTGTGGCTTTTGTGATGCCTGACAATTAACAGCTGCAATCGAAGTCCATGCCCAGGAGTAGATTTTTTTTTTAATTGCTGCATAATACAGGCTGGCACAATGTACTGCCAGCAAGCCACTTATGCATCACAGCGCAAACTGTTTGGCTGAACGGGTGACTGCAAGGTGATGCATACTGTTTGTGCAGCTGAAGGGTTAGCTAGCACTTTAAGTATACTAGCTGTAGCTAAATTAGCACTGATGAAGCAGCCTAGAGGCAAGCATGCTGTCTGTCCCTGGGCAAAGAAGATGCAGGTGCTGTCTGACCAGGCAGCTGAAAGGCACCCTTTGTTCTCTGACCTTGGAAGCCAGCTGAAAATCTGGAGTTGTGAGTCACCAACTAGCAAGTGCGGCGTGGCTGGGCAGGTAGCAGTGCCTGCCTCAGAGCTGCCTCCCTGCCTCGTGCCGTCCTCTGCCTCACACTGCCCAAGAAGCCAAACACATCAGGTGGATCTGTGGCAGGCTTAGAACCAGCAGCAGGGGAAGGAGGAAAGAGGCGTAGTGCTAGTCCGGGCAACGCCAGTTTGTCATGCATGGCAAGACACAGACCTTTGTTAGCGTGTTGGAGCCTTCAATAGCTCATCTCCCGGCATGTATTGCGCGTATTACTTGCCCACATTAGCGTTTAAGCAAACCAAAAAATTTAAACTTTGAAGTTTCATGAAGTTATAAAGTTCAGTTGAAGCCACAAAGTTTTGGTTTTCAGTTCCACGCTGTACTCAGAGCTATTTGTGCCTAACAAGTCTTTTGGAAGTTTGCCTATCAAGATCATGTTTGGGGATTTCTGCCCCTTCAGAAGACAGTGGGAATATGTTCTGTTTGCCCATGCAAATCCTATAAATGGTCTCAGATCACATGTAAGGGTTGCAACTCTGTTTTCATACCATGAAAAAGCATTTAAGCAAAAAAAAAAAAAAATGTTACCAGCAAACACTTTCTTTTACTTTGTATTGCTATGATCACCTTATAAATTAACACTTGTTTGTTGCAGGTAATATATAGGATCCTATATAGATATAAAACAATCAGATAATATTTGAAATTCTAATACTGGTTTTATATTCTAATATAAATATTCTAATTCCCCACAGTAATAGTACTTGGTTTAATTTCAGGCTGAATTATCTTTATTCTTTGTTTACAGGGACTTTAAAGAGAGACTAAGTCTGCTCTAATTTTTTAACAGTACCAGTTGAAAGCCAGTTGATGAGTTTCAGAGGGGACACTGCAAAACCAAACAGACGAATTTCAGCACCTTGCAGGCTCTAGAATGAATGCTGATTGCACAGTATCACTACTTGGATAACAGTGACAAAATTTCACAGAATGGCTGAGGCTGAACAGGACCTCTGAAGGGCATCTGGTCCAACCCTCCTGCTCAAGCAGGGCCACCTACAGCTGGCCGCACAGGGCCGTGACCAGATGGCTTTTAAATCCTCCAAGGGTGGAGACTCCTCCACTTCCCTGGGCAACCTGTGCCAGCACTTGGTCATCCCCACAGGGAAAAGGTGTTTCCTGAAGTTCAGGGAGAACCTCCTGTGCTTCAGTGTGTGCCCATTGCCTCTGGTCCTGGCACTGACAGAACCATAGGTAAAGGTCCTGTGACAGAGCCTGGCTCCGTCCTCTATGCACCCTCCCTTCAGGTATTTATATACATTGACAAGATCTCCCTGAGCCTTCTCTTCTCCAGGCTGGACAGTCCCAGCTCTCACAGCCTTTTCCTCATGGGAGAGGTGCTCCAGTCCCTTCATCACATTAGTGACCCTTTGCTGGGCAGTCTCCAGTAGCTCCCAAATTTTCTTAAAATTGCTGAATCTTAGATAGCTCGGATACACCATACAGGAACACATATAGGTCCGATTTACGTTGCGAGCGGGCACGTTCTCAGAATATACAGCAGCTGCAGCTACAACAAATTCCTCCCGCCTTTAGGAAGTGGCCGGCAGAGCCCGGGCCTGCCTCTCACCGGGCAGCGGCGAGGCACCGATCCGTCGAAGGAGAATATTCGCCTTTATTCCTCTGAATTACCAGCGTTTTTGTCGCTAGAGGCCGAGTTACAAGCGTAAAACCCGCCGCGTCCGTGGGCGGGGAGGAGCCGCCTCCCTGAGGGCGGGAACCGAGCGGCCTCGCCGCCGGGCGGAAGGCCCCTCGCCTGGCGCCGGGAGGCGGAGCGGGGGGTAATAGAGGCTTCCGCCTTCCCGCCTTCGCCTTTCGGCGGTGGCGGCGTGAGGGGGGGGAGCGGAGCCGGGAGGGAAGAGGAACCTACCGGGATGGTGTCGCTGCTGCCGCGCATCGAGCGGCTCTCGTCGCGGGTGGTGCGGGTCCTGGGCTGCAACCCGGGGCCCATGACTCTGCAGGGCACCAACACCTACCTGGTGGGCACCGGGCTCAGGTAACGACCCTACTCGGGGACGGGGGAAGGGGACGGGGACGGGGCGGCGGCGGCGGCCGCCGCCGCCGCCCCGTCCCCGTCCCCTTCCCCCGTCCCGCTTTGGGGCCTGCGCGCTCCCTCCGGCTCGAGAGGCGGCTACCGGCCTGTTAGGAAATCCTTTAATTGGGGTAAAAAGGAGGAGAAAACATTAAAGAATGCAGCATTGAGTTTTCGGGACCGGTGCCCGGAGGTGGCTAGGGCAAGGTGGGGGGGGTGTGGGATCGGCCGAGGCGGGGAATTCCGTGAGGGACGCGGGTGGGTGCCTCGCAGCTCCCCGGCGGTCCTGCCGCTTTGTCCGGGGGTTGCGAGTGCGTGGGCTGAATTCACTCTTTATCCTTCTTGGTAAATTGTTGTGCCACGGCGGGGGCGGGGGGTGGAATACCGAGGAGGGAAGAGGTGGTGTCAGGAATACGGAGACATCCATTACTACTGCATTTCCGTAGAATGCTGGGTTCTTTTTTTAGCATTCTTTAGCTGTCACATGAGCACTCTAAATTCTCTCAGTGTTTTGTTTTGTTTTTTTTTCCCCTCTCTTTTGTTTGTTTTTCCATGTGTAGAAGAGTCCTTATTGACACTGGGGAGCCAGCTATTCCTGAATATATTGGCTGTTTAAGGCAGGCCCTGTCAGAGTTCAACGTCTCAATTCAAGAAATTTTAGTGACACACTGGCATCATGATCATACTGGTGGAATACCTGATATCTGCACAAACATCCCAAATGGTAGGCCAGAGATTTTTGCGTATTGTTGAAAATGTTAGACATGTGGCAAGAAAAAACTTTTACTAGGTGATTTTGTGCAAATCAGCCGGACTGTTTTTCTGAAATCTCCACATAAACTAGATGTAATTTCGTGATACTGTTGCAGTGTGTAAAATGAGAACAACAAATAATCTAAATATTGTAGTTGTAGTACTGCAGTTTTTATTCAACACCTGTGCGTACCTTCATAGTGAATTTTTCATAAGTGTGAGTAATGACAACCTAGAATACCATCAGCAGTTTACATGATATTACGAGAAGTGAGAAAAACCTGATACTCACTTCTTTCTACACTGACAGTAATGACAAATATACCATTATTTTCGCTTGTGTAAAAACAATAAATAACTTAATCTCTGAAAAAGAAACATGCACAACTTTGAGATTCCTTACAGAGACCGTTAGTAATTGCTGACAAATTTGTAGGCCTCAGATCATGAAGGGGAAGAGGGTAGCGCAGTCTGCAGGTAAAGTCTGATCTAAAAATGTGTATTTCATGTTGATAAACAGTAAGAGACATTCCTGCTTTAGTGTCAGGGAGGAGAATAAGCAGTATGGAAAATGCAGTTCTTCTTAGCATCGTTGGACTTTGTCTCAGGCTTTGTCACAGGCTTTGTCAGATTTTGTAAAGTTGCCAGATGCTTACGTGCAAAGAAGCCTGGCCATGACTGAAAACAAGATTGGTGTCTTTGTGAGGCTTTTGGTCTTGGCAACCCATGAGTATGGTTGTAAAGACTAGCAAGGGATATAAATACCTTTCTGAGTTGCTGTCCATAGATGTTCCAGCCAAAGCATTCACAGTTCATGCACGGGTCAGAACGATGGACGTTGAGGGAAGTTGCAAGTCAGAAAGCCTCCATCCAGTGTTAGTCAAACGTTGAAAGATGCTTCTGCGAATCGTAATGCAGAACTTGAGCACAGAAATCTTAGTCTTGTTGTAGAAACTTGGGAGGTTTGCCTCTTGTTGAGTCAAGAAGGAACGTTTGTAAAATACAATAATTATTGACATTTCTTTATTTCACTTGTGCTTTTTCATCTTCCAAGTTGCTGCTGGTACAGAGTACAGTATTCAGATTCGGTGGCTTTCACTATTCAGTGTTTGTATCTTGGGAATAAGATTGCTTTATAAACATAAAGTTACTGTGCAGAATTTCTTGTTTCTAGGTTTGTACTCATACTATGTAATAATTAATAGTACTTGTTCAAAAAGTAGCTTTTCTATGGAATTAGCTTTATTAGTGACAAATTCAAAACAACATTGTCTTTGCTTTCTTTACACAGACTCTGAATATCGCATCTGTAAGCTTCCTCGTGTCCCTCACAGTGAAGAAATAATAGGAGGAGGACATAAATATTTTTATCTTAAAGAGGGAGATGTGATACAGACAGAAGGAGCCACACTCAGGTAAACACTAATTTCTACAAGTTTACTGGATAATGTTTTTCTTCATAATTCTGACACATATGTATCCTAACGTCTAATGACTGGCAATCCATACATCTAATATTTTCAACACATACATGTAGACTTCCTATTATGTTCCAGCAGGGTATGTTTAATATGAAGGAATTGTTTTAATGAGTGAGGATTATCAGGAATTAGCCTTTGGATTTTGACCTCAACAGAGAAATTAAGAACATTTCCTTGAAAAATATTTCCCCTGGGAAAATCAAATAGAGGTTTACATACTTTCTCATTGCTCTTTTTCGTGATTTAACCCCAGCTGGCAACCACGCCCAGCACAGCCACTCTCTCACTCCCCACTGGTGGGATGGGGGAGAGAATCAGAAGGGTAAAAATGAGAAAACTCATGAGTTGAGATAAAGACAGTTTAATAGGTAAATCAAGAGCCGTGCACACAAGCAGAGCAAAACAAGGGATTCATTCCCCACTCCCCATGGGCAGGCAGGGGCTCAGCCATCCCTGGGACAGCCGGGGTCTGTCACACATAGCAGTGGCTTGGGAAGACAAATGCCATCACTCCGAATATCCCGCCACCCTCCCTCCTTCTTCCTAACAGCTTTGTTGCTGAGCAGGACGCCCTACGGTGTGGGATGTCCCTTTGGTCAGTTGAGCTCAGCTGTCCCAGCCATGTCCCCTTCCAACTCCCCAGCCCACTTGCTAGTGGAGTGGTGTGAGGAGCAGAAAGGCCTTGGCTCTGTGTGAGCTCTGCTCAGCAATAACTAAAACATCCCTGTGTTATCAACGCTGTTTCCAGCAGAAATCCAAAACCACCCCATAACAGCTCCTATGAAGACAACTAACTCTCCCAGCCAAAACCAGCACATTCTCCACTCCTTATTCCATATCGTTTACATCATGCTCAGGTCCCACACAACCTCATTAACCATCCCCCCCTTCCCATCCTTTTATAGAATACGCAGAGATCATTCCCTTCATCCATGGACCACCCCTGTAAAATGTCCATTTAGTTCATTTAGTTCTTGACTTGGGCTTCATCTGTTACCATGGTCACTCAGGACAAGACAGATGGGGTGCTGCATGGAGTTACTGGGCACCAAAGCCAGCTCAGGTCAGGTCACTGCTGCGCATGGCACTACTTCTTGTAAGACTTGTCCTCCACTGGTTTGGGTGGTTCTTGCTACAGTAATTCCTATAACATGCAACTCAAAGGTATATCCATTACAGTCTCCACCCCTGGTCCCTTTGGGTGAGGTTATAGGGTTTAATGTTTCAAGGAACTCCTCCCTTTGCCTGCACAGACTGCAGTCCCTTAGGGGTGTACCTGCTCCAGGTGGAGCCTTATCTGTGAGCCACAGTCTCTCCAGGGGCGTGCCTGCTACAGCGTAGAATTACCCACAGCACAGTTGCGTTGAAGCTCAAGTGTGGCCTTCTCCATGGGCCACAATGTCTTCAGAGATATACCTGCTGGAGCGTGGCCTTACCCACGGCCACAGTCCCTTCAGAACTGAACCTGCTCCAACATGACCTTAACCATGGCTGCAGTTCCTCCAGCTCTGTTGTGGGCTGCTCTGTCATGGGCTTATCCATTGCCACACGCTTTGAGATGCTCCAGCATGACTTCATGCACAGCCACTAATGCTTCAAGGTGTACCTGTGTTGGGTAATAAAACCGACTGTTGTGGTTGAAGCCCAGCCAGCAACCAAGCCCTGCACAGCCGCTCACTCACTCCCCCTGATGGGGTGGGGGAGAGAATCAGAAGGGTGAAAGTGAGAAAACTTGTGGCTTGAGATAAAGACAGTTTAATAGGCAAAGCAAAAGCCGCGCACACAAGCAAAGGAAAACAAGGAATTCACTCCCCATGGGCAGGCAGGGGCTCAGCCATCCCCAGGACAGCCAGGCTCCCTCACACGTAACGGTGACTTGGGCAGGGAAACGCTGGCACTCGCAACATGCCTCCCTTCCTCCTCCTTCCCCCAGCTTTATTGCTGAGCAGGACGCCCTGTGGGGTGGGATGTCCCTGGGGTCAGTTGGGCTCAGCTGTCCCAGCCGTGTCCCCTCCCAGCTCCTTGTGCCCCCCCAGCCCACTCACAGGGGCTGTGGGAGGAGCAGAAAAGGCCTTGGCTCTGTGTGATCTCTGCTCAGCAGCAATTAAAACAGCCCTGTGTTATCAACACTTTTCAGCACTAATCCAAAACAGCCCCATAACAGCTCCTATGAAGAAAATTAACTCTCTCCCAGCCAAAACCAGCACACTTATTAAAATTGATACTTTTGGGGAAGCTTATGGTAGTCTAGATGGAGTATTTAGCATGCCTTTCTTTTTACTTTAAAAATATTTCCTAAGGAGACACTAAAACCTGTCATACTTAAAGGTTTAAAATTTAACAGTTTAACCTGTCAGGTACTTATACGGTGCCAATTTGGGCGGGCTTCTTCCCAGAGAGCATATTGCCTGTCATGTCAGCTTGAATGAGTCTGAAACAGAAAGCCACTCTGCCTCCCACAAACACACACAATGACAAGATCTGACTATTCTTTTCCAGAGTTCTTTCATTAACAATGGATTACTCTTTTAAGGACAAATTTTGCTTGTTTTCCTCAGTTTAGATATGAATTATACCTCACCTGTAGAATATGCCAGCTGGCTGGTTAGAGTAAAAAAACATAAAAATAAGGGATATATTTGACCAAAAGCATTTTATTTTTATAGTATAAAAAAACCCAAAACATGGAGAGTATTATGTTGAATATTGAAGACCTATCACTACTCTTAAGTGGCTCATGTTTGGACAAAATCCATTTAGAGATGGAAAACAACTTGTTAAATTTGAATCTAGGTAAAGCAGGGGTGGTAGATTTTGGAGTTTGGGGTAGTGCAGCTAAACTTTCTGCTTGGTTAAAAGCAGGTATTCTTACCTGGTTAATTCAGTAAGCACTTTAGGGATACTCTTAGATCCACCACTGGTTCAAAATTAGTAGTATCTGCATGTTAAATTTTAGTTAGCAGTTTTCAAGGTGTGCCAGTCAGTGTTGGGTTCTTTTTCCTTTGTTTTTCCATGTCCGTGGTTAAGCTTCCTGGTAAAGTTATATCAAGAACTGGAGGATACCACTTTGTACAAAGGCAAGATGCAACCCATCAACTTGATTTTTGTGTTGCCTCTGCAGGACGATGGCTCACCTACTTTCTGCTCAATTCCAGTAAGAGCTGGAAGTCATTGCATCAGATGGTGCTGTGCTTCTGGCCTCCCAGCCCTGCACTGATGTGGCTGGGAGCAGCTTAGCATTGGCTGTATACCATGCTTGGCACCAGCTCTGTCAGTGCCTGATCACTGCTTTGATGCATCTGCCATTAACAAGAAGATGCTGATGAATTTCAGGAGGGCTGCTGGTCTGAGTTGTGTTACTTTCAGTTTGAATCAGCCTCAGCATGAGGCCTTCTGCCTTTCAAAAATCAGAGCGAAAGGGCATTGCAGTGCAGCTCCTTAGCAGCTCAGGTTACTGTACATATATCAGTTGTCTCTTCATCCTTTGCTGCGTTCCACCGCAGTACTCATTGAAGCTGTGGGGTCCTAAACCCTTACCATTCAGTTGTTTAATAAGCTGCACATAGAACAGCTAAAAGACCATGATTCCTTGTTGTATTGGACAGCTCCACTCCACTATGTCATGGGGCTTTCAGGCAAAAATAAATTTCAGGAGACAGAACTTAATCTGGGTTGGAATCAGAAGCTTATAGTTAATTCCTAAAAGAATTGGCAACATCATCCTTACCTTCTTTTGCTAAGTGCAGGGTGTACGTCAAGAACTTCACATTTCAATCTGAAAATAACATGTCAATTTTTCTTTTATTAAAGCTTCAGAGTAAAGTCCTCTGTAACACAGATTCTCAGCTCCCTTAATGCCCTTTTATTATGATGTGTCATGTAAGTAAAAGGATGTTAGAGATGGTTATCTGTGTTCTCTACATAGTATAAGAAAGTGGACTGGGATTAGGCAAAGTGATGCCCTATTTACATTGGCATTTCAGCATTTTTTTGGTCTATTTCTTTCTGGTTCTTGTGGGCTACTTTGTAAGTGTATGATTTTATCATTATGGGTTTCCAGCTTCTGAAAATGAAGCATTTATGCTGCATGAAAAACCTTACGCTTTTTTGTTGTTGCTCTTTAAACAGAGTTTTATATACACCTGGACACACTGATGATCATATGGCTTTACATTTAGAAGAAGAAAATGCTGTATTTTCCGGCGACTGTATTTTAGGGGAAGGAACAACAGTAATTGAAGACCTGTATGATTACATGAAGACTTTGAAAAGGTTGTTACAAATGAAACTAGATTTAATATATCCAGGTAAGTGGTTCTATTTTTAACTGCTCTGTTTTACTATATAATTTTAAAATATCTCCTCACAGAACTTGAGAACTCTTACTAAAATCAAACACCATTACTAGCGTAGTAGTTCAAGTTCATTACTTAATAGGTGTCCAGTGCTAAGCTAAGATGACATTACGGCAAGACTTGAAATTTCTTCAGTATCTTTCCTTCCTGAGATTTCTCCATTTGAGGGTGAATCTTTTGCTTCTGTTCCCAAAGCCTACAGAGGTCAGAGTCTTTTACTTTCGGAATCACAGAGCAAATTTGGTTTTCTTATATTACTCTATCCATGTGCCTTAACGTTACTATGGAAGAAAAATAAGAGTTGTTCTTCTGGTCATTTACATCCCCACATATGCTGCCAATGTGAGTAACCTAGTCATGTTTTTTTGAGAGAGTTGTCTGTCCTTTGCAGCACAGATCAATCACAAATTCATCTTGGAAAGCTACAGAACTGTCAGATGGTTGTCTTAGTTAATGACTTAGCTTAAATTTGAACAAGAGCCAAGAAGCCAAATGTCATGTTCTAAAAATAGGTTAGCAATTCATTAAGTCTATGACTTTGCTTTATTTTTTTTTCCTCTATTTCCCCCAAACCTTGGGAATGCATTTACTTTTCTTATAAACCACATGTCTATTTGACAAAACTGGATTTTAAGAATTCATTATGTAACTAAGGTATAAGCTCCTTATTTGATTTTTCAGAGCTACATCTCAGGATTTTTTCTGACTTTTTCATCTTCTTCAACTTGACTGTGTCTACATTCTTAGTTGTATCTTCCTCCATTAACCATCTATGTTTAGCCTACATAACCAAATCTCTTTTGTGTTCATTCTTAAGACGTGCTTCTTTTGAAGTAGGTGCTCTTTAAGTGCTTTAAGATCTAATCATAAAAATGCTATTTAAGAAAAATACCGTTATATATATTCCATGGATGTGGAGGCTGACATAGACAGAAATAGTGACTTGCTGGTGGTTACTGACCTAACTACTGGTAAAACTAAGAATATTTTAGCCTCCAGAATCTTAGTCTGTTGATCAATCAAATGATTTACTTTCTTAAATACCTACAAAACAAAATCTGTTCCTCTAATTGAACTTCTGCCTTCCAAAACCCCATATATGACGAATTCTATTGAGTTTATCAATTTTATCTGTTGTATTTCACTCTCTCCTTAATCATTATTTATCTAGATTACACATTCACCAAGGTTGAATGTTTGTACCATTTATCTGTAACTGTTTGCTACACTGTTGTATGTTCGTGCTGTACTTGCAATTAGGAAGTCAGTTGGATATTATGCTTTTTCAGTGATAAGTAGCTAAGTATTGAGATGGCTTGGAACTAGCTTTCTTCTTTTATGCATGCGTCACAAAATGTATGTGCTATTGTGTAAAAGATAACTATTGCCCAATCAGAACAATTGTTTATACTATTGGTATGTACTACAGTAAAATGGTAACTATAGCAGAAGGTAATTTGCTTTACCAAAACATTCTGTATAAGCTTAGTACTTTGATTTTATTGGAGTTTTAGGTCTTCGTAATTCTTGAACTGTTTCTCTGTTCCCCATTCATGCTTTAGCACTCACGTTGCAGCCTCAGAATTAGATGCAGGGCTGCGTGAATTTTTGTTACAAGCTGACTGCTGGCTAGGTGTGAGTAGCTGAATTTTGCCAATCCTTTCATTTCCACGTTTCTTTATTAATTTAATGTGGAAATGACTTCAGGCAGAATACTCGTGACAATCTTCACAGCTGAGAGTCGATGAGAATCCTTGGAACCAGAAAAGGGCATTTTAGTCAGCAGAGGGCTCTCCAGCCTGTAATAATAAGCAATGTTCCTTGATAATACAGAAAAAAAATGGTACCGGAGTTGGGAATCTGCAAGGTTTCATGAGCCAATTATTTTCTTCAATTTTATCCTTTGTGCTTTAATTTACTGTAAAGTAAGAGAATCTATATTACTTCACAGGGTGTCAGGAGAATAAAAACACTGTTTCTGATCATTTGGGCTATACAGAGGTCTGAAATAACATGAAGCTGTCTGATATAAAGTCTGAATTATTGGAAAGACGGTCATATTTTGACAGATACGTTTCACAGGCTCAGAAATATTTTACAAGTATGTGGATATTAATTTATTTATTGGTGAAGTTAACTGTTGCTGTCCCAGAAAAAATATGGATGGGAAAGATCCGCATCTGGATTTAGTTCTCAGCTTTCTGACATCATTTTAATGTGTGTAGATGCATACACAATGGCTATGGATCAGATGATGTAATGGATATGAAATGCCTTTAACTTTGCAAAATGTGGTTTCCATTCCAGGTACTGACATTGGTCTTATAGTCTAAGTCAATTAAAACACTTGGAAGAGCAAGGACAGGTTTTAAGACTGCCTTGTGATTCCATGTGCAGGCCTTAATTTTGAATACTTCAATGCGACTTCTGTCATTAGAGAATGCAAGAGAGTGGACAGTCACTATTATAGTCTCTGCTCAGTATATCTTAATGTGTTTTTTCTAATTTTAAGGGTTTTTTTAAAAAAATATAACATATTTACTAGAGATATTGTTATATTTGTAATTTATTCTGTAAGGAGCAATAGTTTCCAGTTAAATATGTTTGAAATCATTAAATATATATGCATATGACATATCGTTTTATATTTACATATTACATATCTTTTATATATAATACTATCTTCACACAAGGTAAGCTTCAATGTATATTTAGTAATTTCAGATCTGCTGAAGTGACTGTATAAGTTGAGATATGCATAAATATTTTGACTTGCTGAAAGATTTCCTTTGACACTTTATTTCATAGATAATCAAAACATGAAAAATTAGTTGCTCTTTTTCCATAAGCTGCTTGTCCTCAGACAAAATAAGCTCTAATTTAAAAAGCCTTAAAAATAAAAACTCATTTAGTCAGTTAACCCAAAAGTACAAATAAAAAATACAATGATTTTTTTAAAAAATAGTCAGAGAACCTCAAAAGAAACTGTCTGATTTGGATGATGCTCAATAACTTCTGAAAGAAAGCTAGGTTTTCTACAGTAATTTCTGTTCTACTCATCTTATAAATTACTTGGAGTTTAAACTGGCAGGGCTGGAAGTTGCTGCTGCTAATTCAGGTGAGTTATACAGGCAAAGAAATAGGAAACTTTGCTATAAAAAGCATGTGATGAATATTCATGCAAGTAAATTTCTCTATAGGTAAAACATTAAGTTTAATTTCTGTGCATGTAACTCTCATGTCTGAAAAATATTTTCGTTTCATCTGCCATTTTAGTGTATCATGAGGCAGTATTTGATTTTACCACAAAGGTTAGTGCTTTACCAATTAAGCCTTTTTCTGATTTGATTCAAAGACCTTTCAGTAAGTTCAACATTTCTGATCTGCCTCAATATGTACAGGAAAAAGCATTTGTGTTTTGCTTATTAACCAGCCAGACACAAAATGACCCACATATAACCTTCCTTGTGCATTGTTTATTCCTGCCCTGGCATGTTCTGGTAGTCCCACTGATTTGTCTTCTATTAATTTTTTTGATCATACTTATGAAAGTATGTTCTTCAGGGAATTAAACACCGTGTGTGAGTCAGTTTTGAAGATCTGTCCTGGAAAATTTATCTCTCACAATTAAAGTTATTACTTCTCTCGCCTCTGTGTTTGCTAGACAGCCCCACAACTGGACAGTAGTACATGAGTCCTTTGCCTCAGCCACTACTGTTCAAAGACCAGTATGAGTTTAAATCTTCAGTACCCTTTGGGAAGAGTAAAACAGGCAGACAAAGGTAATATAATCATCTGAACCTCATCTTTAAAATCTGTTCAGCAGTGAACTCCTTTCCCTTTTTTTTTTTTTTTTTTTTTTTTTTTTTCCCTTTCATAGCCTGAAGTGGTCTTCCCTTGCTTTCTATATTCCACCTGAAGTATTCCCCTTCCCCATTCAGACTTTTCAGATCCTAATTCTTCCGTAACATCTTAATGCTTTTCAATTGCAGACTGTGATGCAGACATTCAAACTTAATTTTAGCTTATTTATGTGCAAAAAAAAAAAAAAAAAGGAAAAAAAGCATGCAAAGAGCATCTTACAATTTAACATCACGGATACTCTGACAGGGAGATGCTTACCAGATGCTGCTCCCTTCTTATGACTTCTAAGTCTACCCAAGTATACGTAAGAATGACTAGATTATTCAATAGCATACTTAATACCAAATTTAAGTAATAGTGCTCTGGTATATGTGTTTTGATTTAGGTCATGGCCCAGTAGTGCGGGATGCAAATGCTAGAATCCAAAGCTACATTTCTCACCGAATGGCACGTGAACAACAAATTCTGAATGTTTTTCAGAAGAATGCTGGAAAATCATATACATCCTCAGAGCTTGTAAAGATAGTATACAAGGTAATTGTTAATTAAAAGTTTTTAGATCAAAATAAATAAAATTGAGGTTACGTTCATAAAATTGTATGTAACAGTTTAAGTATTTGACTGAAGACCTTGGTGGCTTTTTTTTAAAAAAAAAAAAAAAAAAAGGAAGAAAATATATCTGCTTGTTCAAATTTCATATGACTGCATTTAAATTGTATTGCATAAGCACTTCATTGGAGCAGGGACCAGATAATTCTTATTTCACTGTCTAGATGGTCCTAAGTACAGTTTCATAGGACCAAGCAGAAGTAAAGTTGTAGTGCTTGGTTCTTCCAAGTGTTCTTCTAAGTACGAGATGGCTGTTAATTGTTGATTTGTCAAAGGATGTTTGGAGTCTCCTGAAAGATTGGTTAAAACTTCTAGTTCCTGACTGATTAGTCTGCAGGAGGGTGCAGGTGAACTGCAGTTCCAGAGCGATGATATTGCGCTCAGAAGCTGGGCAGCTTGTCTGTGTCATTAGACAGGTGTAAGAGTACTTTTTTTGCTACTTCATCATTCTTCATGTAGCCTCAGTAATTTGTACATGCAGTATGGGGGTTACGCCTCCTAGCAAGTAGAGATAAAAGAGATACAGCATTTGCTTCAAAGGAAGATGTTGAAGTTGCCAATGGCTGCAGTTTGTGAACAGGTCTGCAACAGCTTCACAGCTCATTTTTCACGGTTCTGCTGGACCTGTTTCCAAAAGAATGACTGCACCACACTGAGCTTTTTGTGATGCTGGTGCACTGTTACCCATGGCTGTTTAGCTCCTGCAGTTTTCCTGCCTGGACCACGACAGCTTTCAAAGCTTTTAAAGATTCACCATTTGTTGAGCTAGATTTCTAGTGAATTTTCCTGCCAGACTCGTGTTCTTTGGAGAAGAACTTTTTAATTTTCAAAAAGAAGGCTTTACTTTTAGGATGACAGAGGTGGAGAAGAGGATTTTGAGAAATGTTATTGGGTTTTACCTAATGAGCAGTAGAAAATTTCAAGAGACGTTTTGTCCTCCCAAAGCTGTTGTATTTTTAAATTGTTTATTCATTTACAGATGCTAATTGTTAAAGGATATTTAAACCCATGCAAATATTGTCATGGAATATAAGTGATAGGTATCTGTGGATAAATGCATCTCTAAATTTGTTTTTAAAAATGCTCAGCTACACTAACACACAGTGCAGACCAAGCTCAGAGGAGCACAGTCGTCTTAATATTGGCCAAAGTTTGCATGATAGAAACAGATAATGCAAAAAAATGAGCCAAGTAAACAGAAGTGTATTATTAGGCTACTAGTTTAACCGGTATAAAGTTGATTTACTCGTTTCAGTTTGTTGTCATTATATAACTACCTGAATGTTCAATATAGCAATTCAGAAGAGGAAAATGTATTTGAACCAAGAATTCTGGATATTGAAAAAATAATTGGGAGATATTTAAACAAATACATTTTTGTGTTCTCATTAGGAGATCCCTGAAAATTTACTTCCAGCAGCAGAAAATAACCTCCTAGTCCACTTGAAGAAGTTGGAAAAAGAAGGAAAAGTGTGTAAGTTGTGGATGGAGGGTGATTTTCATCTTGATTTTCTATATACTGTTTCTCACTATATTTTAGTCCATTATTTCCTGGGAAAAAGAGCCCTGCAATTAGTTGTAGAAGCTGTCCTACAAGCAATTTGAAGTAGAATTATATACAAAAAGTCTATGGCTATGCAGTATTTCCAAACTTTTAGAAAATATTTTATAAAGTGTTTGTGAAATGTTTAGAGAACTAATTACTGCAATGCAGTAAAAATTTTTATTTAAAAGATACCATGGAATACATTCCTAATGCCAGTGTTTATACCCTTGTGTATTTTCTGAAATTCATACCTAACTATGCATGTACATAGCATTTTATGGGATTACATTTTATGTTTCTGCCTTTTCTAAATACCTATTGTTGTATGTATGTGTTTTAGAGATGGTTAAAATCATGCAGTGTAAATTTTTACAATTTCTGATTAGTACAGTACTTAAATAGAGCAACTATATTTAGTTTACTGGTTTTACATTATGCTTTTACTTTTAGTGAACAAGGTGAAGTATTCAATTTCTGTAATGGCATGTGCATGTAGAGAAGTTAGTCAGCCAGAAGCTAAGGAAAATATTTCTGTCTATACATTACATAACTGCACCCAGGACTGTCTACTCATAAGTAAATAATTACATGAATATTTACAACTGTTTCAAAAATTCAGCTTTTACCAACCTGAATAACAATTTGAAATTAGTGTCTTTTTTCTAACTTAGACCTTCTGTTTATTTTAACGGTAAATCAGCTGCTGTGTATTAATTGTGTAAAGAATTGAGACAATTTTTGTGATAATAAAAACCCACTTTTTATTCAAAGCAGGTAGTCTAGAGTCACACAAATACAGTCATTACTGAAGTTCAGAAAGTGATGTCTTCAAGCATATTTTGTGCAGAATACTGTGGAAGCTTACCAGCATGGTACTTATTGGAGCAGCTTTTAAATGTGATCTCAGTTCTTGATTATTAACATTATTGACATACACATTTCTTCAGTTTGGCTCCACAAGATTCCTCTGGGGTATCCCATGCTGTTGACTATTTATCTCTTCCTTTTTACTGCCAAAGTAGCTCAAGCAACATCGTTTTCTGTTTAAATGAAGTGGTAGTTAAATTAGCTTCCTCTTCATGGGTAGACTTCCCTACAAAAGACTGGGTATATGCATCTTAAATGTCCAGGAATTAATTTGACTGAGCTAGAGATTTTCATCTCTTAAGCCAGGGGGGTTTTCTTCTTTCCCACCCCCCCCTTTATAAAAAAAAAAAAAATCTGCCTTTACAGATTTGCTTTTCTCACTTAAAACAGAAAAATAATGTCCTGTGTACAGGAGCATGATACAATATGAGCACGTAAGCTTTCTCCCATGTTTGGATATAAATGTCTTGGTCATTCTTTCACACTTTTAAAACACGGCTGATGAAGACAGAAAAATAATTTTACTGTTCTTAGTTTAGCAGAACAGATTTTTTTTTTCTCTGGAGTTCATACATTTCAGAAAATTCAACAATTCCTCTGCTACCTCAAATTTCTTAATATCTAGAATTTTTAATATTCTGAACTTTAAATAACTGTAGGATTATTAAACACTTTTTTATTAATCGTTCTTCACATTGCTAGGTTACATTGTGAAACAGTTAATGTTTATCACCTTCCATTAAAACTCAATGCTGGCCTGAAGGAAAGTATTGCAGTAGTTTTAACAAAAAAATGTATAGACACACATATGCACATAGAGGTTAAGTTTGAGATAGTCTAATGTTTATATATAGAATCTAAGTGTCAGTTTGTGACTAATTTGGTCTTTTTCTCTTAACAGTACATGACGCGTCTCCCAACTTCAGATGGAGAAACAATTTATAAATTACACAAGATTGCTCAAGAATATTTTTAATCTGCACAGTTGCTGCATGAAAAAATACAGTGATGAACTCAGATAGTACGTAAAATAAACACTAATTATTCCTTCCCTTTTTTTAAACAGTGGTAACACAATTTTAACGCAATGTTACAGTTGGTTAACTAATGTTTTTCATATTCTTCTTCACATGAATTTTTAAAATAACCTGATAGGTACTGAGTTAGTAAAATGGAATGAGTGTGAAGAACTGAATATTACCTCTGTTATAAAATACCCAGCTTTATTGTTGGTGGCAGAAGACAAATAGCAGGGTCTTATAAACTTAATATTACAATATTATAAAGCAATATTATAAATGTAATAAATCAGCTATATAAAAATATCTCTAGTAAAAAGAATGGAAAGTATGTTATTTTAAACCTGTTTTCATTTGCTTGTGATTTTCAAAAAGTCATTTTTCTAATAAGTTATCTATACATTCTAAAAACCAAGTTATTTTTGTTAACAGATGTAAATACTGGAGTTTATATTCCTTTTCTAATTTAGCTGCCTGTGCACATATTTGCTGGTTGCTCACTGCTGTAGGTTTTAACGAACGCTGAAAGTAATTCCAGACTTCTCTGTTTTCTGGTGGAAATGCCATTTCTATGGAATTCATTCAAAGTATTCATTGATTTTAACTACGCCATGTCAAAAAATGCAGAGTCGGAGCAGACTCTTAAATTCTTTATCTTAAAAGATTCTGCAAGAATGTGATTAAAAAGGTGTATAAATTGAGATACATACTACCACATGAAGTTGTTTGTTTATACTTTATAACTAATAAGCTTCAAGTTTTGCTGTTAAATCCATTTAAACTACAAATATTTTAACTAGAGGTTTTATTTGCTTGTCAGATACTGTATAGTGTATTAAAATACAATGTTTGAAGATTGATTTAGACTGCAAGTTGAGCTCTTTGTGTAGCTTAAACTTTCAGAATAGTGTACAAATGTTTGCATTACTTTGTATGTTCAAATTGTGTGAAGTTTTTATGATACATACACTTATTTTAATGCTGGCTCAACCTTTACGAAAAAAAAAAAAATCAGATACGAGATGTTTGAAAGTACCAAAGAGAAATATATATGTCCTTGAAAATTCTTCATCATTTAATCCTGTACCTTCATTCGCGAAACATCCATGTGTTTGGGTATTTAAGACATGTCTTAATAATTACCATTATTTGATGAAGTTGATGGCATTTGTTCTAATCAACTGAGCCAAATCCCATGGAAAAATACTCCCAGGAACAGCAATCCAAAACTGAAACCATGTTCTGAAGTAGTAACCAGCCCAGTGAAGAGGGGAAATAATAACTTTCTGCTCTATAAAATGATGCTTTTTGCAAACTTCATTGATCTGATTTTTGGCCACATCGTGACTCTTGCTCACTTCTAACTCTCTGTGCAGTGCCATTTTAGGGTCTTTTTCAGGTCTCCTAGTTTTGCTTCCTTTTTAATTTTCTGTTTACTTGTATTTTTCCATTTCAGCCACTTTTTTTTCCCCTCCTCCCGCAAACCTTATTTTTTAAAATTTCTTTTTGATTGTTTCTCTCTTCATAATTACTCAGGAGCTTTCACACGGACTTCTTACCATTAATAATTATTGTTTTCCTTGAACTATTTCATTAATTTATAGTTACCTTTTCCATTGTTGGGAATGAAAAGGTAATTATCAGTGTTTTCTTTTTTAAAAACTTAATTCACATGCTCTGATGTCATTTTGCTTCAGGAAAACAGAAAGATCCATGAAATGGCATGATTTTCTGTCATGAGGTCTGAGAACCTAAGCCAGCAGGAAACTGGTATCAAGAGGTGATGTCTCATTACCTTTCTGAGCTGAAGAAGAAATCTACTGGCAGGCAAAATGTCACTGAACCATTTTCTTCTATTTTACTATGCTTCATTTTTAAGTAGGAACGCTTTAAGAAGAAAACGGCTTTAAAATTCAGTTAAAAGTATTATTGGAACTTACAGGCAACAAAGAAAGCAGGAGGATACAAATCAGAGGCTTCCATGTTTCATGCTGTGCTGAAGCAAACACCTGACATTCACAGAAAATAAGGGAAATTGCAGTTTAACCAGACTTGTCATTAATGATTGGGTATGGTGCCTCTGGAATATTAAAAGCAGAGATTGCACTGTTACTGAGAGTAATATACAGTAAAGGATACTTACATCAGCTATGACATGTTGTGAAAGTCTTAAGACTCCCTGTCGATTATGAGATTATAAATCAGGAGGAGTGTTTGTTTACTTAAAAGTAGAGTGGTATTGCAAGCTATATGGCATGTACATATAAAAATGGGGATTGGCCTATTTACATCCCTTGTATTGAATTTATTAATCTGTGCAGAATGCATTAAAAGTTATGAATAAATACAGGAGAAGGGGCAACTTCTGTCTCATCAAGCTAGAAGGGCAAATGTCATTCAGTGCGTGAACTTCCTAAACAGCTGGGGACAAATTGAGTTTCCAGCCTTCCTTGCCAGCTAATTTGAAGATCCTGTCCTGAGAGGCAGCATCATTTATTAGGTTTAAGACCTAGAAAAGAAGTTTGGGGGTAGTTAGAACATTTTGGGGGTTTTCTATTCTGTTTCTTGCTAACTTCTTTATTTACACTTTGTTTAAAAATGTCATTCTTGGTTATATCTTTAAGCGTGTTTGATGACAAGGGAATTCCGGGGAGGTTCCCAAATAAGAAGGGCGTTGTTCTGCTTGTGTCTGTTACTGTTGTGTGTTGTTTGTGTGAGTGGTGTGGGGTTTGGTAGTGGGGGGGCAGGGGGAGGCCACAGCGCTGGCCCCTGTGAGAAGCTTCTTGTTGCTTTCCTGGCTCCAAGTCGGCCAGGACCGAGCCGATCAACGACGGTGGCTGCGCCTCTGTGATAACGTATTTAAGGAGGGGAACCTGGGAGGAGGAGTTGTGAAGGACACCCGTGCGAACACCGAGGTCAGGGGAAGGAAGAAGGGGGAGAGGTGCGCCGAATCCCATGGGGGAGATGGCAGGGCTGCCCCCCCAGCCACCCACGGAGGTCACCGGTGGAGCGGCGTGTGATCGGTGGCCTGTGGAGGAGCCCCCACCAGAGCAGGTGGATGTGCCCGGGGATGGCCGGGATGCTGTGGGAAGAAGCCGCCGCTGTTGGAGTTTGGTGCTGGGAGGACTGCAACGTGCAGGGGGGGACCCACGCTGGAGCGGCTTGGGAAGAATGCATCCTGTGGGAAGTACGGCAGAGAAAGTTCGTGGGAGACTGTCTCCCGTGGGAGGGACACCACACTGGAGAACGTAAGGAGTCCTCCCCCTGAGGAAGAATGAGTGGTGGGCTGAGCATAACCCCTGCGCCGCTGGGGTGCAGAAGGTAGAGAGATCAGGAACAAAACCCACCCCCTCCCCATCCTTTCCTAAATTCCCAAGACTTTACCTTCATTTTCTCTTTCCCAAGTGCTGGGGGGCAAGGGAGGAGCGAGCAGGTGTGTGGTGTCCAGTTGCCCTCTGGGCTCAAACCACGACCTGTGGGTGCAGTAATGCGCTTCCTACCCCGTCCTCCACAGCCCTGCCACCTGAAACGGTGTGTTGGGTTTGCGTGGCAGAGTTTTGGTAGCGAGGGGGCCCTAGGGGTAGTCTTTGTGAGAAGACACCAGAAGTTTCCGCCATTTCAGACTGCCGGGAACTTTCTTTTTAAATGATGTGATCATTTTGAAGCCCAGTATTTCAAAACATGGACATCTGGAAAGCAGCCTGGCAAACACAGACCCGCAACCCATTGGCGAGAAGCTGACAGGGCTGACAGTCTCGGGTGGTTTAGATCATCCCACTCTACCTAAAGAGCCCTAAGAAACATCATGTGGCAGAAGAGGGAACTCCAATAAAAGGAAGGTGTGGAAACTGTTCAGGCAAGGCAACAGGTTGCCTTTTCCATTTCAGCATAGCAGTTTGCGCTGCATCATCGGGACAAACAAAACCAAAAAAACCAAGGAGCTCTGTGCCTGCATGAGGACTTCTAGCCAGACGCTTGAGGCACTTGCTGATTATAGCTTGAGGCAAGGATGTCTTGTCCCAGTTAAGTCCTGTTTGTTATGTTCTGTGGAGATGATATGACCTGATTTCTTTTAAGGCTGAGGTGGGAAATAGATGCAAGACATTGCAAAAAAAAAAAAAGATTCTCGTTTTTATCCCAACCCAGTGTACCTTAGGGGCTCAGTATGTTACATCTGTGTTACGGGGTATGCAATCCGGGATATACTTTCACAGTGTTACAATGTGTTGTAATTGTTGAAATAATGTTCTGCCTACTTTAGAGTTACAAAATACTGGTGTGGCCAGGGCATGAAGAGATTTCTGGGATACAAAACATTTTGGGACTGAAATATGAATGCTTGTTCTGTTTAAACTTTTATATTAACCAGAAAAAAAAAAAATCTCCGGGTGTGAAGGGAAAAATTTCTGTGGCCTTTTATTATATTTTAAAGTACCCTGGATCATCTCTGGACACCAAATATCCCTGTTTTTCCGATTTAATAAATTCATACAAAACCTTTGAGCATCTTCACAGCTGATGAAGGTGTTTCATAGTTGAAAAACCTGGTCAGACACTAATCAGTCCGCTCCGTGAGTCAGTCACTGCTCCGTATGGTCAGAAGAAACCAACCTATTAAAAACAGTTCATAGAACGTATTTGGTGCACGCTTTCAGCTCTGGCAAGGCAAAGCCGTATCGGAATAGCTGCATCTTAATCTCTTACCCTGCATTCATTAGCTGCTGGCAGCAAAAGCTGTTCTGACAAGGCTAAGCCTCAGCCATAAATTACTCCATCTCTTGATCTTCTCCACCTGGTAACAGCCTTCTGTGACTGGGTTGGGGTTTTAATCCGCATCCAGCCTCCCTTTTAATGTCCGCTATATTTTCCCCGTTAGCTTTTCTTCCCTTCTGCTGCCTTGCCATTGGGCTGCTCGTCACAGTCCCTGGGATGACGCATGCTATTTCTGGCTACACGCTGTAAATGTAAGCGGGCGGGACGGCGAGAGCTGCGCCCCGGCCGTAACGGCCACGAAGCCCCCCGAGCGCGGCCTCCCCACACGGCACCTTTCGGGTGCCCGCCTTCCAGCGGGCGGCAACAAAACTTAGCCCGCGCCGGGGGGGGGGTTGGCGAGCAAGCAGTCGGAGGTGAACCTGGATGGCGGGGGGGAGCCTGACCCGGCTCCACGGGCACAGAACGGCGGCGGGGGGAACCCGCTCCGGCCGGTCGCTTCCTCGGCGAAGCCCGGCGGGCCGCACGGCCGTTCCCAGCCGCCTGGGTGGGGGCGGGAAGGCGGGCCGGTGCCCGCGGCGGGCCTTGGGTCGGCGCGGAGCGGCGGGGGCGGCCGACAGGGGCGCTGCGGGCGGGGGCTGCTCCCTGCGGCCGGGCCGGGCCGGGCCGGGGCGGGGCGGGGTGAGGCGAAGCGAAGCGGCTGCCATTCCTCGGCTGCGCGGCCGCCTCCTCCCCCTCCGCCTCTTCCTGGCCGCGGCGAGAGGAGCTGTGCTGGCAGCGGGGAGGCGGCGGCGCGCAGCTCCCTGCCCGCCATGGCGATCCGCAAGAAGAGCAACAAGAACCCGCCGGTGCTGAGCCACGAGTTCATCGTGCAGAACCATGCGGACATCGTGTCCTGCATGGCCATGATCTTCCTGCTGGGGCTCATGTTCGAGGTGAGGCGGCATCGGCGGCGGGGAGGAAAGAGGGGGGGGGGGGGGGGGTGGTTCGCACCGCTTCTCTCCCTCCGCCGGGGGCTCTCGGTGCTGGGCGGGGAGGGCGCGGCGGGGGTGGGGGGGGGGCTGCGGTTGCCCCCTCGGGAAGCGTGAGCGCTGCCCGGCCCGCCAGCCCACGCCCTCCGCGGGCCGCGCAGCCCCCGCGGGGAGAGGAGCCGCCCCCCCCCCCCCCCGCTCCTCCTCCTCCTCCTCCCGGTCTCGCCGCACGGCCGGGGGAGCCGCGCCGGCTCATCCTTCGCCGCCTTTGAGGGGGAGGCCGTGACCCGCCGCCCGCACCCACCCACCCGCGGCGCGGCCCCGCCGTGAGGGGACGGGGAGCGGGGCGGCGCGGCTTCCTCCCGCGGCGGCGGCCAGTTCCTGCCGGCGGCGGGGTTACGTGGCAGTGGGAGCGCGGCGCGGCGGCCGGGGGAGGAGTGTCCGGGGCGGGGAGGGGGGGGGAGGCCCGGCCGCGGCAGCCGCTCCACACACACACACACACACACACACACCCCCACCCCCCCCACCCACTCTTTGTGTGCCGGGCCCTGCCGGCACTCCCGTAGGGCCGCGCGGCGGGGAAGGGAGACACGCGGTGACGTGGGCCTGCAGCCGCCGCGCGTGGGGAGAGGGGGGTGTCCCCTCGCACCCACCCGCGGGGCTCGGAGCCGCGGTGGGGGTGTCTGGGCTGGCTGCGGGCGGGGGTGCGCGGAGCGCTGCCTCGGGCCTGGCTGAGGGCCGGGCCGGGCCCGCCAGCCCTGCGGCCGGGCGCTCGGGCTGGGCCCCCCCGTGTTTGGGTGCAGACGCTCCAAAACGCGGCTTTTTAAAGGGTCTTCTCGGCTACGTTCCGAGAGAACCGGGAAGGTAATTTAACGGCGACTTCCAAAATGTTCTCAGCGGTGTCCCGTCCAAGTTGGACGCTTCCATCTTTGTTGGCTAAACGTTTCTGGCTTTTCAGTGGTTTTAGCCGTTTGCTTAGAGTTGTGGACCTTTTTATTATACGGGTGGTTTTCCAGAACAATTTTATCCAGCTGTTGATATCGCTGAGCACTAAAGGCCAGTGGAGTTAGGAAGAAAATAAATATGGGAAGAAAAAACAAGGCAGACCAAGAGAGCTGTTATGTTTGGGTTTACTATCAAAAATCACCACTTACATGGTGGTTTTCAGCGGAATGAGGTTAAAGAGATGGATTTAAACCTTTACCTTTTATGTCTGCTTCTGGCTTACTGTATTTACAGTATTACGGGTAGGGTTGGAGGTTTTGTGAGGACTGGATGTGCTGAAGTCTTTTGTTTCCAGTTTTTTTTTTAACCCAGGGTCATTTCTACCCAGGTGTAGAAGGGCCCTATGCCTTTGTTGGTACAGATGTGGTACTGCAGAGAAAATTGTTCCAATTTTTTTAACTGCATTGATACAGATCTTGGAAATCACCTGCTGTGGTTAATGTTGGTCAGGTCAGGCATTTATGCTGCCTTGCTTGTGCAACTGAATTAGGACTGTGAGTAGCTGACAGCCTTCAAAGGGCAGTTCAGAATTAACTAATGCTTTGAATTGTGCTCTGAAGGCTCCCATGATGAATAGGGAGCCCTAGGCAACTTCACTAATTCAGGCAAACTAGGTGAATTCCCTGAAGTTACATGGGGTAAACAGTCCACTGCGTATTCAGGGTTTCCTATAAAATCTAGGGCTTGTTTATGAAGCACTAGTTTTTTTAAATAAATAAATATAATTCCTGTGAATGATAATAAATGCTGGTAGTAACCTAATCGTTATCTGCAGTAACTCAAAGTATCCTTCCAAGATTCTTAAATCAGTTTTGCTTTTTGTTGGAGTTTTTTTTTGTTGTCAGTCCTATAAATGCAACAAAGGTGCTAGGTTTTTACAACAATGAGAAATGATCAGATCATAAATACTGTAAAGCATGGTTATTTTCCCCTCTCTGTTAAGACACGTGGATTCCTGTTGGGATTCAACAAAGATGTGTTCATGTTGAAAATTAATTTACATTTATTGACAGATAATAACTTGTGCTGCTGCTTTTCTGTTGGGGTTTTAATAGTATCACCACTGTTGTCCCCCATCATCTGTCTGTGTCTGTCCCTGGTCCATGTCATTCCCCCCCCAAAAAAAACAAACAAACAAAACCACCAAACTTTAGAATAAACTTTTATTTCCCCCCCCTCTCATTTATTCATTCTACTTCTTCTTACTGTCCATCATCAAGCAGTGGTACCACTACTGCTAAATTTCATTTATTTTGTTTTACACTTCTTGCCAAAAGATCCCCAGGGTCAAAAAAATGCCAGTTGTATTGAGTTGGTATGCAGCTAGCCTGAGACAGTTCTCTGTTCTTTATGCCTTTTCTTTTTTCCTGTCTGCGTTTTCCAAATCACCTACAGATTTATGAATATGATACTGACCTTCAAATTAAAAAGTAGTTTTAAGGGATTACATGATATTGTGCATTCTGCTAACGTAATAATACATTATGGATTGGAGAAAAAATTGCAGCATGTGTTTTCATTTTCATGTTGTAGGAAAGACAGTTTTGTAAGTAGCATTTTCAAGGATATTTCACTCGGGAGATTGGGTACCCTGTAAACAAACCTGTAGAGATCATGCAATGTGTTCTGCCCTTGGAAAGTCAGGTGAAGTGGTGTGATAATGCGAGTTGATCAGTTTTATGGGAGGGGATAAAGGTGCTGGGGAAGGGTGCTAAAACTATGGGCAGATGTTTTCAGTTTAATATAGTTTATTTCAAGCACTTGTGTTTTTTCTCTTTCAGTTTACAGCAAAAGCAGCTGTCATTTTTGTTACACTTCAGTATAATGTTACCATTCCTGCCACTGGTACGTATCTTGCAGGAGGTTGGTTATGAGACAGTGTGTTCAGACTTTATTGGTATGCCGTACTTTCTAGACTGAGAGTGATTTGTCGATTTGTATATCTAATAAGCAATTTTCAAGCACTTTATTTTTAGTAAAATTCCATTTTGATTAATTAGGTTAGGCATGATATTTCTATTCTGCTGGATTCATCATTAGTGATTAAACACCATCTGACTGGTAGATAAGTTCACATAATTCTTATTCTGGTTTTGCAAGTGACAATCTTTACTAGTCAAAGTGGGGCAATACTTTAACATAATTTTATTGTACCCTTTCAATGCATTTGGGTAAGCTTCCTAAGTGCACTTAAGGTTTCATTTTTGGAGTACATCTTTCCAGAATTAAATGTAGTTTGTGAAGCGATGGAGGTGACTGTAAACAATCTAGTGACCTAGCTCATGATGGCAGTTTAATTTAACTTCTGTTTGTTCATCTGACTGCAAACTGCTTCTCTCTGAAAGGCTTCACTCTGAGAAACAAACTTATTAGCCATTAAACTGTATCAGCGCCTGACAGTTAATCCTGTTTGTCTTTTAGACGTACAATCTGCAGAAACAATCTCTCTCTATCACTATGGCATCAAAGACTTGGCTACGATTTTCTTTTACATGCTTGTAGCAATAATCATACATGCTATAATTCAGGAGTACGTACTGGATGTAAGTACAAAATACTAATTCCTTTCATCAAGATAATTGCTGGGTTTTAGTTAGACTGTTCACTTTAAAGTAAACTTTTGCACTAAAGCTTTTAATTGTTAAAACATGCACTGAAACTTTTAAATGTTGCAATGCAGTTAACAGGTAAATGTTAAGTACTACAGCATGTAAATAACAATGGACTTTCATTTCAGAAAATTAACAGGAAAATGCACTTTTCAAAAACAAAGCATAGCAAGTTCAATGAGTCTGGGCAACTTAGTGCATTCTACCTTTTCTCCTGTGTTTGGGGAACAAGTATTCTTGTCTCTGTAAGTATGCTTTCTCTTCTGTTTCTATTATGAGATTTCAAAAACTTTGCTTATGATGATCATAAATCAGTTTGTGCTTTATTTTTCTGTTTTTTGCTGGTTTTAATATTAAAATGGAAAGGAGTTTGGGGATTGTCTTCAGGTTGTAGTCATAACTGAGTGTAAAGTTTAGTAGTGTTACTGTCACTCAGTCTGAGATGATTTACTGTCAACTGAATAAGGTAAAACTTTTAAACTATTATAGTACTTCATTCTCTGTCATTTTTCTGTGTTGGATTATTAGCATAAAATAAATGTTAAAAAGCATCGTACATAGCATTTTGGCAGCGAGGGAATGGGTGTATGGACAGATTGCTGTAGGCTTAGGTGCGTGTGAGCTTTCAGATGGCATGTTCTTTGCTAGTGGCAAGGGAAGAGCTACGGCTGTAGTGATGCTGAAATAAACTGCATCTCGTAAGGACACTCTTATCTTGAATGAATGCTTGGTTTGGTTGGTTGCTTTTTATTTTTCTAAGCCAATACAGCTGTCTTTTGGTTTTGGGGTTTGTTTTTGATGGTATAGTGGTTTGGGTTTTTTTGTAAAAGGAAACATATTGATCTGCAGCTTTTGCTTGTGTGTGTAGATGTGGGCATGTCTGTATGTACACATTCGCATATATATATAGATACATACATGTATGTATGTTCATTATTTCTGACTAGGAAGTAGCATCTTTGAGGGTTTACTAGGGTTTTTGTGTCTGTTGTGGTTTTTTTGTTGTTGTTTTTTTTGTTTTGTTTTTTTTTTTAGGAGAACTATATATCAGATCCAACCTCTCTGTGGAGGGACTATCCGCACACTCTGATTCCGTAAGGCCTCTTCCTTAGGGGATTGTTGGGGAGAAGAGGGAGTGTTTTAAACTTAGGGTGTGTCACATACAATCTGTATAGAATATGTAGTCTGTAAAAATATATTAGTCACTGATGTATTTTTGCTCATATTTATGGAGGAGCTTGATTCTCTCAATTTGTAGCACAGAGAGTTCTCTTTCTGTAGGATACTTTTTAAATAATTCAGTGTTTGCAAGCTTTATTTATCATAATGATTTTGTTTTATGAGAACCTTTTTGAGTTGGCTGGCAGGAAGGATCTATATTTTTCTTTCTTTAGAGACAGTGATTAAATGTGTTCACTAGAAAGCTTCTGAAATGTTCTAAGTTCATTAATAAAAAGTAATATTCTTCAATTCTTGCTGTATTGTACAGGTTTCAAATGAAGTTTTTCTACATCTTACAGTTGGCATACTGGTTTCATGCTTTTCCAGAATTGTACTTCCAGAAAACTAAAAAAGTAAGTTCAAAATGTAAATCAAAAGAACACCAAAGCAGCTTGAACAGTGAAATAGTTAATTTATTTTGAACTTCCAGAATAATGTGTTACCCTAGATTTCCTACCCTATTCTTACTTGTGTTACCCACTTTTCCTGATGGAATTTTAGGTGCTCAAATGTCCATGGGAGAAGGTAGGGTTTTTCTTTTTGGTTAAATCCTGTATTTCTAATTGCAGTAAAATTGCTATATATCTGTTGTGTAAATAAAAATTGCTGGTGTTTCTCATTAACTAAAAGAATTTTCCCCTGAGCAGATGAATGTGAGGTTTTCTTTTCAAATACTTTTTTTTTTGTTTGTTTCTTGTAATTAGTAGTCTTGAATAGTCTCACTGAAATCACAGGTGCTTCATGAATCATGATACAGGTGTTGAATATAAACAGGGAATGATTCCATAAATCCAAGGAATATTAAACTCTGGGATTTGATTTAAATACCATTGTCCTCAGCAGAAGTTCTGGTTAGATGTGTATTGAGATTTTTTTTCAATTCTCAGTTTTTAATGGTATCCATTTCCCCCCCAAGGGTTTTCTCTGTTGGGGTTCTCAAAACACGATGTCTACTGTACATTTTTTTTTTATACACACTTTTTGCCTTCCTGGACCAATTTTAAGTAGTCTCTCTGCATGTTTTTGCATAGGCTCGTTTTGCATATGCAGTTTCCTTTTTAAGTTTCTCTTTTTTAAACTCTTGAACATGGCTTCAACAGGGGTAAATCATGCTTGACTAATTTAACGGCCTTTACAGTGGAGTGACTGCATCAGTGAATGAGGAAAGAGCTACTGATGTCATCTGCTTGAACTTCTGTTAAGGCTTTTGATACGGTCCCCCACAGCATTCTTCTCTCTAAATTACTAAGAGGTGGATTTGATGGATGGAGTGTTAGGTCAATAAGAACTGGCTAGATGGCTGCTTCCACAGAGTTAGTGGCTCAACATCCAAGCGGAAACCAGTAACAAGTGGAGTTCTTCAATTGTCTGTACTAGGACCGATGCTATTTAACATCTTCATCAATGACATAGAGTGGGAATGAGTGCACCCTCAGCAAGTTTGAGGATGACACCAAGACGAGTGGTGCAGTTGATTTGCTTGAGGAAAGGGATGTGATCTAGAGGGATCTCAACATGATTAAGGATTGTGAGCCTCATGAAATTCTAGAAGGCCAAGTGCAAGGTCCTGCACCTGGGTCATGGGAATCCCCAACATCAGTATAGGCTGGGGGTGAATGAATTGAGGTCAGCCCTGCAGAGGAGAACTTGGGATTACTGGGGGGTGTAAGACTGGACACGAGCTGACAATGTGCGCTCCCAGCCCAAAAAGCCAGCCGTATCCTGGGCTGTATGAAAAGGAGCATGGCCAGCAGGTTGAGGGAGGTGATTCTGCCCCTCTGCTCTGCTCTTGTAAGACCCCAGCTGGAGTACTGCATCTAGCTCTGGGGTCCCCAGCACAAGAAAGGTATGGATCTGCTTGAGCGGGTCCAGAGGACAGCCAGAAGAATGATCAGAGGGCTGAAACACCTCTCCTGTGAGGACAGGCTGAGAGAGTTGGGGTTATTCAACCTGGAGAAGAGAAAGCTCTAGGAAGACCTTGTTGTGGCCTCTCAGTATTTGAAGGGGGCATATAAGAAAGATGGAGGACATTTTATCAGAGCCTGTAGTGACAGGACAAGGGGCAACGATTTTAATTTGAAAGAGGGTAGATTTAGATTAGATGTAAGAAAGAAATTCTTTCCTGTGCGGGTGGTGAGACAGTGGCACAGGGTGCCCAGAGCAGCTGTGGGTGCCCCCTCCCTGGAAGGGTTCAAGGCCAGGTTGGACGGGGCTGGGAGCACCCTGGGCTGGGGGAAGGGGGCCCTGCCCATGATGTCATGGGGATTGGACTAGATGATCTATAAAGGTCCCTTCCAACCCAAACCATCTGATTTCTCTTGTTGCTGCTCTGTGACTAGACTTTGTCTCTGCTGCCAGAGTTCTGCTCTGTTCAGGAAAATGAAACTTAAATGTTATGTAACCATAGGTCTTTGTTCAAGAGGCTAGAAGAGGCTTGGGAAAATAGTAATGAGATGCTTTGTTTTCATGCTGATCAGGCGCAGTATAAACACTGATGTTTGGCAGATACATTGTAGCTGGTGTTCCCATATTATGGGATTTGACTTCATATTCAAGTGTGGAGGTTTTTTTATTGTAACTTCAAGGAAGCTGTCACAAGTGGCAGAAGTGCTGTATATTGAATTGTAGTGTTTTACTGGGTCACTGCTTGGAATTTTGGCCTCTGATTTTCGCATTACATTTTAAGAGTGATAGTTCATTTGTTTTAGCAAGTTCACAGTTGATGTTTCTTTCACCACAGTTTAACCTCTGCTGTCTTGGCTTCTCAGCCTTATTCCTTCTCTTGAAGGAACTGGCTTCTTTTACTCAGGTCTAGTTGTCTGTACTGCTGACAAAGACAAGAAAAGAGGTTCTTAACTTAGTTTTCTGCATAGTAGTGTATACCTCCACCTGCATCATTCCAGTAAGCCTTCAATCTCTTGACAGTTTTTCTAAGCAGACAGCACCGGCTGTTTCAATGTTCCCTCAGTTCTGAAGATAAAGTGCAAAAGGCTCATCCTGGTAGTTCTGGGAGAAGCTGAGCATTTGTACTGACTATTCTCTAATTTGCCTGAAAGACCTTATTTTTTTGTTTTGTTTCAGATCATCGAGAGTAGGTCTTTATCTCTTTTCTTGCTCTTTGTGTATGTGTGTGGTCTTTGCTGTTCTCACAAGTGTTTGATTCTATGCTTTCGCTGGCTTTGACATATGAAGTACTGCATAACGTAGGATAGATCTTACAGGAGTGAATTTTTAGGCCTTTTTTTAATTACGTGTATACAAGATAAAGCTGAATACCCTTGCTTGAAGTTTAGGGAACCTTTCCAAAAACAGGGGAGTTTCTTAAGCACAACTGAATGTACTCTGCATACCCGTTCAAGACAGGTTTTTATTGTGATCTGGCATACTTTAGTGATTCTTCTGTTCGTAGATGGCACCTTCTGTTTTCTGTGTGCTGTGTGTCTATGCTTGAATTCGTGTCTCTTCCTCTTTATTATTTCATCTCCGTGAAGTGTTCAATTGAATGGAGCTGGATAAAAACCTAACATGAAGTGTGGCCGTGTGGCTTAGCATGACTGGTTCATAACATTATTCTCTGTATGTGCCAGCAACAGTGTGCCAGAAGCCCGGATGATCTTGAATTTTTAAAATATATGTCAACACTTTGAAACCTTATCATTTTGGTTCACAGACTGTTATTTTATTTCTGTAGCATTCCGATGGGCAGCAAATGCACAGGACTGTAGGAAGTTACCTGATAATTTAGTAATACCTACCAAATAAGTATTGTAATAGCAAATTCACAGTACTCATATCAAATAAAAATGTGCCCTTTTTAAAAAGCATCTTTTTGATGTTTGGTATGTTTTCTCACAATACCATATGTGTAAGACACCGAAAGTTATTGGTAAGTAAGCAATAAGTTTTATGTGTGGAAGTAGGTGATCGAGGCTGACTGATTCAGTGCCAGAACAGGCCACATTAAGGTAGCTGATAAACTAAGCAGACTTTTCAAGACTAGGGAATAGTTTATAATAATATATAACATCGTACAGTAATGTTTAACTGTGTATAATGTGTAATTACTTTTTTCTTCCTAATAGGAAGATATCTTTCGCCAGATTGTCTACATTGGACTTTATCTCTTTCATATTGCTGGAGCCTATCTCCTGAAGTAAGTCATAAAATCATGGAATGGTTTGGGATGGAAGGGACCTTAAAGATCATCTAGTTCCAACCCCCCATGACGTGGACACCTTTCTCTAGAGGTCACTCAAAACCTCATACAACCTGGCCTTGAACCCTTCCAGGGAGGGGGCAGCCACAGCTTCTCTGGGCACCCTGTGCCACTGTCTCACCACCGTCACAGTAGAGAATTTCTTCCTTATATCCAATCTAAATCTACACTCTTTCGGGTTAAAACCATTAACTCTCATCCTATCACTATACTCCCTGATAAAGAGTCCCTCCCTATCTTTCCTGTAGACCCCCTTCAAGTACTGGAAGGCTGCTATAAGGTCTCCCCAGAGCCTTCTCTTCTCCAGGTTGAAAAACCCCAACCCTTTGTCCTCATAGGAGAGGTGCTCCAGGTCCCTGATCATCTTTGTGGCCTTCTGGACCTGCTCAGGCTAGTCTATGTTCTTCTTAGGTCAGGGACCACAGAGTTGAACACAGTACTCCAAGTGCAGTTTCATTAGTGCAGAGCAGAGGGGCAGAATCACCTCCTTCAACCTGCTGGCCCCACTCCTCTTGATGCAGTCCAGGATACGGTTGACTTTCTGGGCTGCGAGCACACATTGCTGGCTCACAGTCGGTTTTCCATCATCTAATACCCCCAAGTCCTCCTCCACAGGGCTGCTCTCAATCCACTCTTCGCCCAGCCTGTATTTGTGCTTGGGATTGCCCAGACCTACATGTGGGACCTTGCACTTGGCCTTGTTGCATTTCATAAGATTTGCATGGGCCTACCTCTCAAGCCTGTCCAGGTCCCAGGTCCCTCTGGATGGCATCCCTTCCCTCCAGTGTGTCAGCGGTGCCACACAGCTTGGTGTCATCAGGAAACTTGCTGAGGGTGCACCCAATCCCACTGTCCATGTCGCCAATAAAGACGTTAAGCAGCGCTGGTCCCAACACTGTCCCCTGAGGAATGCTGCTCATCACCCCCCTCCATTTGGGCATCGAGCCATTGACCGCAATTCTTGCAGTGCGACCTTCTAGCCAATTCCTTATCCTTCAAATCCATGTCTTTCCAATTTAGACAAGGATGTTGTGTGGGACAGTGCCAAATGCTTTGCACAAGTGCAGGTAGATGACGTCAGTTGCTCTTCCCTCCTCCACCAACACCGTAACTCTCTCACAGAAGGCCACCAAATTTGTCAGGCACAGGTTGCTCTTAGTGAGACCATGTTGGCTGTCACCAGTCACCTCCTTATTTGCCATGTGCCCTATCATTGTCTCCAGGAGGATCTGCTCCATGTTCTTGCTGGGCACAGAAGTGTGACTGACTGGCCTGTTCCCTGGGTCCTCTCTATTTCCCATTTTGAAAATGGGGGTTATGTTACCCCTTTTCCAGTCAGCAGGAACTTCACCAGACTGCCACGACTCCTCAGATATGATGGTGGCTTAGGTACTCTGTCTGTGCGTGCATCTAATCAGGTCCCATGGACTGGTGCACCTTCAGGTTCCTTAGATGGTGTCAAACTTAATCTTCTCCTACAGTGGGTGGTTCTTCTTTCTCCCAGTCCCCGCCTTTACCTTCTGCATCTTGGGCAGTATAGCTAAAGCCCTTGCCCATGAAGACTGAGGCAAAATGGTTGTTGAGTACTTCAGCCTTCATATCCTGGATGACCAAGTCTCCCTTTTCCTTACAGGGAGGGCACGCATTTTCTCTAGTCTTGCTTTTATAACCAACATACTTGTAAAAGCTTCTCTTGTTGCCCTTGATGTCTCTGGCCAGATTTATTTCCACCAGGGCTTCAGCCTTCCTAACCTGATCCCTGGCTATCTGGACAGTTTCTCTGTATTCCTCCCAGGCTACCTGTCCTTGCTTCCACCCTCTGTAGGCTTCCTTTTTGTGTTTGAGCCTGTCCAGGAGCTCCTTGTTCATCCATAGAGGTCTCCTGGTGTTCTTACCTGACTTCCTCTTTGTTGGGATGCATTGCTTCTGAGCTTGGAGGAGGTGATCAAATGTCTAAATGTTTGTTTCATTTGTTTTGATAGACTGACCCATCTTGGACTTGTACTTCTAGTATTGCATTACTTCGTTGAATTTCTTTTCCACATATCCCGTCTCTTCTACTTCAGTGATGAAAGATACCAGAAAGGGTAAGTAGTCTTTGTCTTTTAAATTAATGTAATTTCTTTCTCGAAGCCTTGTGCATTTAACTAACCAGTAACCAAAATGACAAGAAAGCTTAAACAGTGTTTCCATTGAGGCCACAGTTCTCCAGACTAGTTTTAGTACTATTTAAGTAAATATTAGTGGTGATATAAAAGGAAGCAAAATCTTACACTATGTAGTAATATTTAAAAAAAAACCCAAAGTTTTGTAGAAGAAGGAACAGCATAGTTTGCTAATACAGCCAGTTCTATAGGAGCTAATAACGTGCTCATGTTCTCAAGTAATGGAAGGCACTTTCCATTGAGTTGAAATTACTTTTCAGAACAGACTTTTGGTTTGTAGTAAAAAAAGAAAAAAGATTTTGAGGCAGGGATTTTCTTGCTTTTTTTTGTCTTCTACAAGTACTAGAAACACAAGGCTAGTTTAGGATAGGTACAGAATAATGGATTTAGGTAAGTTCTTAAATTTCAAACGAATTCATATGGCAGAGAGTAAACATTTGCATTGTTAGTACTTGTGAATGGAAAATTCATCTACTGTTTGTGGTTTTTTTCTTTGTAGATTTTCACTGTGGGCAGTTCTTTTTGTTTTGGGAAGGCTTCTCACCTTGATTCTCTCGGTCCTCACTTTTGGCTTTGGACTGGCAAGAGCAGAAGATCAGCAGCTGAATTTCAGTACTGGAAACTTTAATATCCTGGCTGTTAGGTATAGTAAACCTGGAATGGTTCTTAAGCATGGCCTGTAAACCTGTGTTAAATACACAATATAAATGGTATGGTATTAATGCTAGTAATTTTGGATCGTTAGGTGTTTTCATGCAGCCGACGGGATCAATAGGAATAGCTTATGTAACCAATTTGTAAGGCACAGTGAAATGAAGAATTTACAGTCTACAGCTGAGAAATCTATAACTGGTTACTTGGTTTTTTTTTGTCAGAAGAAAAACCCAGAATTAAAAGGAATATCTAATTACAGAGCTTGCTTTCAAATATTTTGAGAGTTAGTGAATTGAATTCTAGATACAATCACAGTGAGTTTCTCTACAGAGGTCAAGGCATTAGGCTCAGAGCATCCTTGGTCCTGTTTGAACAGTCTTACCTTTTCCTCTGCCTGTATTATGGCTCCTCTTGCTGCTGCAGGATGCAGAATGTTCAGCCAACTAGCTACCTGGCTTTTTTTATGAATTAAATCCAGAAAAGGAAGTTATTAAAACATTGACAATGTCAGCATTACCCTGCAGAATTGATACTCAGAACTGCAAGGCGCTCTCAAACCGTTTTCAGCTGTTATTACCTGCTTCCTTGAGAGTAATACTGAGAAAGGAGAAAGCAAGAAAACAGTAGTTCTTCCCAGTTTTGATAGAGGGGTAGAGACTTCATTCTCACTGTATATTTATTTTTGTTCAGCTGTGCTAAGCCCAATAACTCTATGTAAGCTAATTCTTGCATAGCTTAAAAAATGGATGTCACAGGGTGAGGGGACCGGGGGGGAAAGTTACCCCCCAAAAAAAACCAAACAAAACAAAAAAAAAACAAAAAAAAAAAAAACAAAAAAAAAAACAAAAAAAAAAAAAAAAAACACAAAACCAAGCCAAACTGAACTTTTACAAATTTGCGTTACCAAAACAGAATCACTCTAAAGTGTTTGAGGAGCCTGTGTAAAAAGGCGGTTTATGACATACAAAATACTCTCTGAGGTGGTGTTCTACTTACCTTTTCTATTTGCTTAATGAGATAAACTTACTGATAAACCTTTACCTGTGTTTTGTTTCTAGAATTAGTGTGCTGGCCTCCATCTGCATGACTCAAGCATTTATGATGTGGAAGTTCATTAATTTCCAGCTTCGGAGGTGGAGAGAGCATTCTTCTTCTCAGCCTCAGACAGTGAAAAAGAAGTTTGTAACAGCTAAAGGAAAGAACTCCAGAAAAGAAAGAGGTTTGTATTTTCAGTTTTTCTGTTGCCTTGACTTCTCAAAAAAACTTTAGGTAATGGAGAGCCATTTTTAATATGATTGCTAAAGAAACATTTTATGTTAACTTGCAAATGAGATGACTGTTACAGAAACAGTATTGGTGAATATTGTGGGTATTAATTGTTTGGTGTTTCTCTTCTAATTGGCTGAATGAAGGAATTACCTTAAGGCAACATGAGATTTTTATTACGTCTAATTTTATTACTTGAGCAAAATGTGTCATGCTTATGTTTTTGTTTCATTATGTTCCCTTATAATAAGGGAACAGACACATTTTTAGATCTGTTCTCATAATCAGTTACTTCTAAACTTTTCCTGCAATGAATTTCAAGCTTGTTTTTCATTGCCACTAAACTCTGATGTTGTAGGGCAAGGAGATTTGATAGTTTGATGATCCATCCACTAAATCGGCTTATGTTGGACTGGTTTTACTAAAAATAGAATTTTGATACGCCTTTTAAGGGGAGCTAATAACTACTTACTTCTCTAAACCTGTGTGGAAGCATTTGGAAATGAACTAATGACTCCAGGTTTGACTTCTTGATTATGTCACACCCTTTTTATAGAAAGGGCATAAAAGATGAAATGGATGCTTTTTTCCCTAAGGAAAATTATGAGTTCCGTTTTAAAAAATAAAACAAAACAAAAAAAGCAAACACAAATCCCCACTCTTCAGTATTTCTGTTGTACCAACAGTTAAACTTCTCTGTATTTAATTTCTGTCTTGAATAAATTCTGGATTTCTTTTGAAACTGCTTAAGTAATTTCAAAAGCTTATTTCAGCACGATCCTTTGCTACCAATCACGTATTGTTAGCCTGTTCCACTTTTTGATACGCTGAACACAACGTGTGTGAAGATAAGACCATTTGCACTGAGAACTGAGATTTGTGGTTAGAGATAATTGAGTGATTTTTTTTTTTTATTATTATTATTTTTTCCCTCAAGATCCTTTTTTATTAAAATGATGTGATTTAGAGTATGTCTGTACTCCCCTTTTAATGATTTGTAATTATCACAACTCTAGTTTTGCGTCTTGTTTTTGTGAGAAAATCCAGTTGGACTTTAATTGAGTGAAGGTAGTTTCCTATGTAGGTGTCCTGCTTGATCAGAGCTTCATGTTCATTTTGTCTTACTATGGGTTTTTTTGTGGAATTAATAACAAATATCTTTAAAACATAAACTTAAATGGCATTTTAGTCAATAAATTTAAAATGTAGTAGATTTTAAAAATACCTTAAACTACTCATATAATTTGGTGAATTTTCTGCTTTTCACCCAACTTCAGTGGAGACTTGCAAGTGGTAAGCTAATAGTGAAAAAAGCAGTTAATTGGAACTGGGGTTGTATTCACTAAGTAATTGAGCTATGCCTGTCTTAAAGACTGGGGAATTTTACAGCTTATTTTAAATGGAAAGAAAAGAAATTTAAAATCCAAAAGGTTAGTTGTTTCAGATTCTTCTGTTTTGAATATTCTTCTAATGTTATCTGTTCAAAACACTTGCACAGGGTGCAGCAAGACAGTGTTTCTGAAAGAGTAATATATACAATTAAACCATTTTAAATCGCTTTTTTTTTTTTTCCTTTTCTTTGTGGTTGGATGGATTTTTGGGATCCAGGGTACAGTAAAATGAGTTACTTTTAGACTATGCCAAAAGCAAGAAATGACAGTAGAAAAATCTTACTGGTGATGTAGGTGGGGTACCCAGATACATGCTGATTCTTGTTCTTTGTTTTACTTACACTTGTTTTGACTTAACTGTTTAAAAAAATATGATTTCAATTAGCTGGCTTGGATCTAGCTCATTGTGTGTTATTCTTAAGTCAAAAAGCTTACAAAAACTTTTTGAAAAGTATCCAAAGACCACCTTACGTAGGCTTAAAACGGCAGTGTCACTTACAACCAAATATGCTGGATAGACTTTGTTCCTGTGTGACTAATTGGGCCTGTGTCTGGTCTCATTCTCATGCATGTTTCTGATTTTATTATTTTCCTTTAGTTGCTTGTTCACATCAATGGGAGCATTTGGGTATAGTGGGGAGATCAACAGTTGTTTCTGTGGATTGGCCATGCTGTGTGGTGATCTGCCACATACTTGCAGATGGAAAACATTAACCAGTTTTAATGGTTGCCTGAAGTCAGAATGATACTGTGTCAGAGCAGAGATGTTAAGCAGCAAGAGTTATAGCTGGCTAGGCACTCTGCTCTTCAGATCTTTTATAAATATAGCTACTGTCAGGCGACATCTCTGCTTCCTTGGGTTATGGTGACACTGAACAAAGGGGATACTTTTAATTCACAATGGTATCATGTTGCTCCATTTTACTCTAAAGTTGTGTGCGTTATAAATCCACAGATTGTGGGTCATTGTTCTAGGGCAAATTTTTGTTATCAAATTGTCACTGTGCTACTTGAACAGATTGAAACTCTTGAGACCTTTAAATTGACCCAGAAGTGGGATAGAGGCGGAGAGATGCAGCTGGTAACATGTTTTTTGCTTTGTAGTCTTAAGGTGCCTGGTCTTGTGCTGGAACTCCTTCTGTGTACACGTACTCATCTCAAATCTAATTAGTGTTTTACTTCTGTTCATCTTATCTATATGTAAATATCTTCATCAGAACATAAATGAATCCTATATCTTAAAGTATATACTTTAAAAATTGTGTGTGTGTATGTGTAAAGATTTCCTGTATGAAAATCTTGTAAAGGTAAGTGAAGGAGTGTAATTTTAGCAAGAATTAAAATACGAAATAGGTGAGGTGAACAGTAAAGACCTGTACTAGGGAGTTGTGTATATAGTGTGTATCTCCAGAATTTCACAGGACAGTCTCATCTGCGGGTTGAGTATTTTAAGATAATATCTTCTAAAATCCCATAGCTGGTCTTGATTTTTCAGTCTAGATGTATATAATGCACACATTTCAGTGTCTGGCCATGTCAGGAAACCAGACTTTATTATAGTAAACTTGGTAAAAACTTTTTTATACTTTTGCATTATGAATGATAATGATGACTTTTAGTAAAGGAAAAACATCAGAAAAGAAGTTAAAAGACTGTTTGTATAAGACCTACAATAATGTAATAAAATATAAAGCATTTCATTGTATTTGAAAAATGTTTCTTCTTTTTTCTAGAAAATGGAATAAATGGAACAGTGACCTCAAATGGAGCAGACTCGCCTCGTAGCAGGAAGGATAAATCCTCGTAAAACTGGGTTTTATTAAGTTAATTGACTAATGTCCCCAAAGAATCTGCTTTTTACATGGATGGCCCTTCAGCACTAGAGATGTTATGGATTAAAGAAAATACAATTCATGTTTTTTGATTATTGCTGTTGTTTTGAGAAACTTTTTTTAAAAGCCATTTTGACTATGGAAAAAGGTTTATCTGTCTTCAAATACTTGGCGGGGGGGGGAATACAACACTTTTTAAATAACATTGACACTTTTTTAAACATTTATTGTGATGAAATCACTTAATGAGGATCACTGTTGCAATGTATTACTTCCTTCCAGTTTTTGTAATCTTGGTGATATATACTGTTCTACCAGCTTCGCTTTTTTCAAGTTCTTGAAGAAGTATTGCAAAATTGAAGTAAAAACTTAGTATGCATTTTCAGATACTCTGGCTTTTCAGTTAATTGCCTTGATTCAAATTTACAGTTCAAATTGGGACTCCAAAACCACACAAATAAACCTTTTATTTTGTAGTTATTAGCTACACAGTGTCTGCTCTAAGAATTGCCCCGTATCATTAAAACAGAACTGAACTAATTGGAAATGTTGCAGAGTCTTATTGTTTATTGGTTAGAAATCTCTTAACAAGGAACAAAAAACCTCTTTGAGCTATAGCTTTAGCACTTGAAAATTAGAAGGGAGCGTGTATGGTCATAGAAAGAGTTGATTTGAGTAGCACTGTTAACTCCTGTCTGTGCTTTTAAAGTGTATGTATCTTGGAGAATTAGTGTGCGTTGGACCTTCTTTGAAAACTTGTCTGTCTGATTTTAGAGGGTGGAGGTTCTTACAGCGTGTTGTTGTGATTGTTTTAGGAGACATTTAATGTTCCACGAAGAGGGAATGTGTTAGATAAATGGATCAAGTTATGAGAAACATTCCTTTATTATAACTGCTTTGCTTTGTTTCACTTCTGCTAGGAAATAGTTTGATTTCTCCTATATATTTTTATGAAAAAAAATATTTTAAAGTTACGACTTTGTAAAATTGATTTATTGTGCCCTTTGCTACAACTGGAAAAATCTTAATTTAATATTTTCTTCATTATCTGTATTTCACAATGGTATTAAATGTGAAGCTTTGTCCAGTCAGTTTTCCAGTTTAATGTGCAGTTGATGTTTCCTCTGTACCCTTTTGTAATGGGTATAATTCAACCCATTTTACTTGAGAGAATGAGTTAAAGATTTAATTCAGTCTTAAGAAGTTGCTACATTAGTCTTTCAAGTTAACCCAAGTATTAGACTGCTTATTGATTGAGAGGAGTAATTATGAGCAATCAAGCTGATAATAACAGTTTTTAATTAAAACTTTTTTATTTATAGTTGAGCTTATACCCAACAAAATAATAAATCTGCATTCTATATCTTCTGCAGTTTGGATGCTTACTATACAGAATAAACATTTCTAGTACAAAATCTTGACTACAAGTAACTATCCATTCTTCAGTCATTTAGTGCTATTTAGAGTTATTGCGGTATAATTTATTATATGTTTCAGCTAATTTCAGTCACGGTTCCCAAGTACTTGCTTCACAGCTCTTGAAGTGGACTTGACAGACTTATACTTGCTTAATTGGAGTACTCCAGGGCAGCATGCCCTGTAATACACCCGGTCTGCTTCAGTGGAAGTAGCAATACCCTATGTTGATTTGAAGAAATAAAACCCAAGTGGTGAATCTGTCTGATCTGACCATGAAACTGGAAATTTGGAACTCAGAAATTCTGAGGGAATTGCATACATTAAATACTCACTGCACAAAGTCATGTTTCATGTCTGTTGTTTCTAAAAAGACCTTCATAGATTCTGTGTGCCTTGCTCTCAAGTTGTACCTTAAGCCACAAGGGGCTAATTTTTAAATTTTCTGGTCTGGTACTTGGACTCTAAATCAGTTTTCTTGTGATACCTTGCTGTCCAGGGGCTGACGAAATCATAAAGGGTGGAGGAACAAATTGTGGAGGGAGCGTTTAAGGTACTTCTTGAGATCTTTAAGACTTATTTAGACTCTGAGGGTTGTAGTAGTTGTTTCCCTAAGGCAAACTGTTTCTTGTAAGCCTCATTCTTCGGCACAGTAATCTTGAAATGTAAACTTCAGGTTCACTTCTAAAAACTTCAAGGGAGTATATACTTGCCTGATAATTCTGATGTTGTTTTTTGTCTCCTTTTGGCCTTATGGACATTTTTGGCCTTTGAAATTTGAAAAAAGTACTTTTGCTTCCACAAATGGCTTAATCTTTCTTATCCTTGCCTTATAGGAGTCATTGCTTTCTGCAAAGTAATAGAGAATAATTTCAGTTGTTCTAGAATTTTGATAGAGTATTGAAAGCCAGTTTCTTTTGTCATAATTAAAAATACACATTTATCATTTTGGATGAGGCAGAAGCAGTAATTTTTAATTCTCTACCTTGAGGTGGAAACCCCTGTGGAGTTAGAAGACTTTGAGACTTCTGTTTCCAGTTTGATATTACTCGTCTTGGCATAAGATTTTTGTTTGCCTGGATAACTTCTGAATTGCTTAAAACTGATTTTTCAAATGTTATTGCATTTTGGCTCTTTGTAATCTGGGATTCAGTAAACTGGAAGAAGATTAGTTGTCTAATTGTGTTTTCTTAATTATGGAATCAGGAAAATTAGAAATGGAAATGACTGAAGAGCTCATTATTTTATTCCTATGCCTAATAAAATAATTTTTGCTTAGGCTATAGTAATTTATCCTGATCAATTACACACAGAGGTCCCACAAAGAGAAGGCTTTGTCCATGTAGATGGATTTGAATTGAGTAATTCATACTGGATGGGGTTTGTTGGGTTTGGTTTTTTCCTTAAACCCCCCTCCTCCCTGCCTCATCTTGTCAGAACTTTTCAAGACTTACAACAGATGATTTCAAGCCTTTTCTTACCCCCATCCCCCCTCCCAAATGTATGTTTGGTTTATGTGCCGGAATCTACTATCAAAGCCTGTATTTTACTAAGGAATTATATGTAACTTTAAAGTACAAACAAGGAATACAGAGCAGCTGAAAATAATTCTCTGAGTTTTTGCTTTTATCTGGACACTTTCTCCTCTTGACTAGTTGCAAAGATTGATTTCTCATTTGTGAATTATTCATGAACGTGGCTTTTTGGAAATCCTGCTTTTTGGGTGATCCCTTGCCCAAATTTAGGATCAATCAAGGGATTTGCAGTGCAGAGAACATGCATAGGCTGTTTCTGCTGATGTGAGAATACGCTGAAAGTAAATTAAGTACGTTGGAAAAATGCATTTTGAAATTAGTAGTTATTTGTAAGCATTTGACAATTTTCCTAAGGTTGTTTTATTTTTGTTTTTTGTTTTTGTTTTGTTTTGTTTTTTTAATTATAGTTGTGTTTATGGAGTATTATTACCCAGAATTTTGTCATAAGCAGAGTGGTGCTTTGGTACAAGTAATTGGACTTCTGTAAAAAGGGTAAACACACATCTGCAGTCCCTTTGCTCCTTGCAGATTTCTGACTAACTTCACATGAGGTGATTTTGTTGGGGGCAAAACTTGGTATTAAAGGGAAGAGAGTGCTTTCATGGTCATGCTAAGCTAAAACTAATGTAGGTTGCTGACAAAATTGGGGTTCTACCCCTTGTCTAGCACAAGCATTTCTGGTTGAATGGTGAAGTAGATGAGGGGCTGGTATGACTGAAAACTGGTTTGTTTGCTCAGTTGCTTTTCCAATGGATTAGTTGCCTGATAGTAATCCCGGAGGTACTTGAGTATTTATATAAAAGAAAGAAGAAAAGATGCAGGGAAAAGGTGAATCAAGCTTTAGGGCAGCTACCCCTTTCTACTGCATGTTTGGTTGAAAATTACACTAGATTACAGTTTGAGTTGAGAGATCTCTTTGAAGGACTCCCAGTCATCAATACCCTAAGGGAGCTGGTGTCTCTGGTAGCTTCTGCGTGCCAAACTTACTAAGTGTTAATGGATTTTTGTTAGATATTGTGGGGGAAGGAAGAAATACTCGATGTGCTTTACTGTACTGAGATACCTTTTATCTATCATAGTTTTGGGATTTCCAAGCAGTACAAGATGATACTGGTGCTGTAGAAATAGGAATTCTGAAAATACAGTTTTTCTTGGATCAAAAAAACAAGATTATTTTCTTTAACAGCCAGGAAACTACAGCTTTTTTGGTGGGTTTGGTTTGGGTTTGGTTTTTGTCTTTTTGTTTTTTTTTTTTTTTTTTGACACATGAACCCTGTGTGTCTCGAAGTAGGTCTTCCAGAGAGCTTTGCAAGAATTGCACTGTATGCCTGTCTGGGTACGTGGAGGGGAGGGTTGTTTGGTTTCTCTTACTTCTGTTTTCCTGTTTTCCAGAAATTTACCAGCTGATTCCTAGGTCATACTTGGGTTTGGTTCCATTTGTGAGTCAGCCCTTTAGGCCTGTGTTGTAGAAGATGGACACGAGCAGCTATAATAGGCTCTCTACGCAGTGTTGGTCGTTGCTGTCCTAATCGTTCTTTGTGGAAGATGTCAGCATTTTGAAGAGACTTGCACATGAAGTAGAGTCAGCCATGGTACTTGTATTGTTCGCAGGCCAGTGAGAGCCTGTGTGCAGAGATACTGTGTTCCAGGGGGCTGTGGTTTAATTCCTGTAGTAATAGTCGCCTTGTTATGCAAATACTTGGGTTATTTCTTGCACAGGGTATAAGAATGCCCTACAAAATTAAGGCTTGGGGAAAGTTTAAGAGATCCTTTAAAAAGAATAAGGACTGACGTCAGTTATCATCTGTTCATCGTATTTGAATTTCTCACATTTTCAGTTGTGGATTATCTTTAGAGAACTGGACTAGCCCGCGCTTGGGGGTTTTTTTCTGCTGTAGGTGGTTGTGGTGGATATCTGGTGGATAACCCCTCTTCTCATTGCTCCCTGAACTACTCGGTTTAGGATCTGATAAGCCTAGTTCTGTACACATTAAGGAGTTTGGCGTGCTCTCTGGAACTAAAATAGAAGCAGTGCAGGAGTGTTTCTGGAGCAGACGTGCAAGAAATAAGCACATCAATATGTCGGGTGTCATCAGAACCCACTTAATGGGAACTGAAACTTTTCAGGATACAATTTGTATTGCAGTGTGGTGTTTGGATATAGCTCACATCCAGGTAGCAGGTGCCTTTGTGGGTGAAATGGAACTGCTGTCGGCATCTACAACTGCCAGTGCCCCTTCCATGAAGGATGGGTGAGGGGTGCTGCGCTGCAGCTGCAGTGGGCTTCCTTCTGCCTTTTAGAGAATTTCTTTTGATGTTGACAAGACAAAAGGCAACAACTTATTCCAGGTTTAAAAAAAAAGTAAAACATGCTACCCAGTATTGGATTAAAAACAATTGCTCTTGATCTCTTTCTACGTGTCCTGTCACTTTTAGTTTAGGTTTCTGCAAGTACTTTACTTTTATCCAGCTCAAGGATGACAAATCTGTGATGTGAGTGCCAGAAATGACAACTCCTTTTTCTTCTTTTTGTGTTTGAAACTTTTTGCAGAATCAGAGCAGCTACAGTGTAGCTTTATACTTTGATAGCTTTTCAGTATTCTTTTTCGTTATTTATTGTGGTTAACATTAAAGGTCAGGCATTGTCATGCAGCACAACACAGTTGTCACTTCTTTATTCCAAACACAAGAGTGGAAGGCAATTTGATATACTGAAATACAGAGTCTTGACTGGTTTAGCAGAAATTGGAATTCCTGGATGGTTTTGGTTTTCATATTGCAGTTCACTATTATTGCCTTTCTCATTTAGGAAACTGGGCACTTAAGATCTTTGAATCTCTAGGCTGCAGTTTTGCTGTATATCACTTGAAAAATTATGGTCTAGAACTTGAGCTTTGTGTCTCCTTATATCGGTTATAAATGTTGAAGAATGTGTCTTGCATTGTTATTAACAGACAAAAACTCAGCCCGTGGTGATGAGAATATTGTAACGGGGCAGGAATTTCAACTCGAACTCCAGGCTAGAAGCCAAGCCAAAAAACTATCTTGTGTTCTGACGCAGGTGATTCCTCCTCTGTTTCCTGATTAATCATTATCTTTGTTTTGTTTATTTAGATTGTAAGTTCTTTGTGGCAAGGGTTGTCTTTTATGTGTGTGTGCGTGTGTGTGTGTACCCAGGACAATAAGGCCTGGAACCCCAGTCTGTGGAAGCTGTAATAAGCAATCACCTTGTTACTGTTTTACTGGATATCATAATAAAGAGTATCGAATTAAAACTGTGCTTGAATAGTCTGTTACAAAAATGGAGGCATAAAAATTGCATCTGGCCTTGCTTACAGTCCAGTAGCATCAGTAGCAGAGAGGTACTGGTCAAAGGTAAATACAGTATTCTGTTTGGGGATATTCGTTTGAGCCAGTGAACACAGAGCCAGGAAATCATCTTAGGCTGAAGAGAAACAGCGTGTAACTCAGGCTGGAGCTAGAACTTGCTCAAGATTATCAAGAATTCAAGATCGAATTTCTCACCGTCTGTCCACTTGAGAAACTGCATTGCTCCTTACTCTTGGGAGGGTGGGGCTTGTTTGCCTTAATGCTTGTGCAGTGCTTTGTATCCTTTGAGTAGCACTTTCCAGCTTGAAAGGGTAACAACAAACTTGGAAAATACCAAAAACTGAGCTAGGCAGTGTCTGATGTGGCCTGGGAGCTTACTATTCAAATTCAAGTGTCTCTTCTCTCTTCAGCTAAGCAACTTCTAGAGCCTTCATAGGCTTCAGCTTCAGTGATAGGGAAGAGTAAAATTTCATCCAATCTGAAATTGAACCTCTACGCTGATCCACTGGTGATCTCAGCAAGGTTGTAGGGAGGTGGGGGCTGTTACCTGAGTTAGGGAAAGTCAGACTGTTTTTAGGAAACATTTGCCATGAATGTCGCTTTCCCATGGGTTTGATTCGCTGCATGGTGGAGGGCGTTGACTACAGATCCCAGGATCTCTGTGTTCAGTTCACCTCAAGATGCATCAGATTGTTGCTTCTGAAGAACTATGGAACTACTTAATCATTCTTAAAACCTGCATTTGTAACTTGTAAATCCTCGAATTAATTGAAAGATGATGTTAAGTGAAGATTAGTCTTCCGTGAAGATGCATATGGTTCTTGGCTTCATTGTTAGAGTGTATCTTAAACTGTAGCTTAAAGTAATTGTGTTAGAAAAACCAACGGAAAACATGAAATTTTAAGAACCAGGGCTACCTTACCAATGGGTATACCTGTCCGGTGACTAACTCAACCATAGCTGGTGAGGACAGGCAGGCATTGATATGTAACTGGCATCTAGAATGACTGTCACAAGTCCTGCCTTATCTTTCCCCTGCTGCACCCCTCAAAAATTGTCATCTCGGCCTCCTGCCGCTTTCAGGCTGATCTAGCAGACACTGGTGGGAAGTGAAGTCGCTGTGGTCTCATGAGCCGAATCATGTGATGAGTTTGGGATGTGGGGAGAACAGCCACTAGAGGCCACCGCAGTCCGTGTCAGATGGGCTTGAACTTGGGTGCCTGGTAGCCAGATAAAACATATCCAGAGGTCCATGTTTTTGCTGCACTTGCAGCAAAAATTATGTGTTTCCTTTTAAGTAGCATCTCTGCTGTAACTCAGACAATGGGGCATTGAGTTAGGTTAAGACACAACTCTTTGTACTTAGGGATCTTGGTGGTGGCATAGAAGTAAGAGCCATGTCGTATTCTGCAGGGCTTGGGAGATGTCCTTGTTTGGCCAGAAGCTACTTCCTCGCTTCTGGTTAAGAGAGCAGGATGTCGACCTCCAGTATTAAAGCTTTTTCTTAACCCAAAAGCATGTCATCTTAGATTAAAAAAAGCATTGAGGATGCAAAGACTCAGATTACATCTGATGGCTGTGTTCGGTTTTGTAGGCAAGTACGCAGTGCTGTGGCAGATGCTGATTTCTTTGCTTAATCCTCAGGGTGGGGGAAAAGTACAGAGAACCTGCTCTCTGTTTTGAAAGCATCAAAAATTGGTGGAAATGCCGTTATTATTAGAGGAGCTTATAAAATTGTTTCCTGCACTGAAAAGAAATTTCAACTTTTATCTGTCGATAGGAGACCCTAATTTTGTGGGGGCACTGCTTGTGGAAATCTCCCGTTAGATGCTGCAGGAGCCATGTGAAAATTTTACCTGCGGTAGTTAAGTAGCTTCTCAGAAAATATAAATTAGAATTTGTACCTTAGAGATTTTTGTCTTCAATAATAAGGAAATGTCTTGTTCCTTTAGCATATGCCCCCTTTTATATAGAAGAAAGAGTTTTGGGGCGTCACTGGAAAAGTGTGTGATACACTAATTTTTGTTCCTGACTTTGGGGTAACTTTACCCTAGTCTGACCAGAAAAAAAGCATGCACTGGCTTTAGCTGTTCTGGGCCCCAGTAGGACTGCTTTTGCTGCTGGAAATCATTGCACTGCAGGGTAATCTAGCTCTGGAAGAATAATAAGAAATATGGCTCTCTTTCAGGAATGTCTTGGGACTTTGGTGGAGTCCGGGCAAAATTTTCCTGAACATCTGGATTTGGGTAGTCCTGGTAAGAGATGGCAAACTAGCTGAATCATGTTATGAGCTGTGAATATGCTTTGATTTGTAATTCATTAAGTTGCCAGCAACAGGTTGAGTGTCTGACTGGCCTGGTCACCAGCTCAGTATTGCTGCGCTGACCTCCAAGATGGATGGTGTGCAAAAAAAGCCAATTTGCGTGGCTCCGCATGTATGGAAATGCATTTGAAAACGGGCCGCAAGCCTTGCAGTGCTTACGCTGAGAAGGTACGAGGTTGAGCACTCTCTTCTTGCTCTGGCTATCACTTTTGAGATGAACAGCAGCACTGAGACCTGAAGGAATGCAGCAGGAGCCAGGAGCTGTGGTTGTGCTGGAAATAGTTGATTCCCTCAGGACCTGAATACGTACCCCCATTTCCCCACCACCAAGCCTGCCCTGCTTCAAGAACTCAGGTTTGAAATGGAAACCTTTTAATTTATACTGATAAACACCGCTCAGCAGCATGGGGGCTGTTAGGAGCCTCTAACTGAATAAAGGATAGAGTATGCCCCACCCTGGAGAGAATGATGTAAATCATTCTAATTCTTGGCACTGGTATTTAAATTTTGTTCATAGCATGCCATAAAAAAAAAACTTTCAGACATTGTAAACTGTCTGTGCTGTTAAGAAAACTCTCAGAAGCTTTCTAGAGGAAAATTTTTCAGAAGGTGAGGGCAACGTTAGCGTAGTTTCTAGAGGCATCGTGAATGGTACCATAGTCTCCTTGGCCCTCTCAGCTCCTGCTCTCTCACCCTCCCCTCTTCCCCTTCTCTGCCCCACAAGTCAGGGAAGTCATGAGAATGAGATGCAGCGAAGGCTGAGAGAAACTTTGGTTAACTCTGGAGGTTCCTCTTACAGGGGAGCCCGGCAGACTTCTTGTCTCCACAGCTGCAAGGCTCCTTTGCGAAGAGCTGCTGTCCTGGGCAAGCCCAGAAGACCACATGCTCCAGTGTCTTGCCTTCATGGCTCTTTAGGGAAGGGATGTGAGACTGAGAGAAGTGGCATCCTGTTTCATCCACCCAGTTTCTGGCAGTCGTCAGCTTAGACACTTCTGAAGCATCTGGTTACATCAAAACTTTTGTTGTTTTTTTATTTTTTTATAGCCACCAATGGAAGTATTCTACATGCATTTATATAATCCCTCTTGAACCCATTTAAATACTTGGCATCCACAACACTCAATAAGTTACACAATTTAACTATGCCTTGTTTGGAAAAAGTATTTCATTTGGCTTGTGTTTTAAACCTGATGATTTCCTTCTGTGAGTCTCAAGTAGTGAATAATCATTCCCTCTTCATCTCTCTCATACTACACGATTTTATAGACCTCTCTGATTCAAGCCTGAGGGTTCTCAGTCTATTTAGTATTTTCTTGTGCAGAAACTGTTCTGTGCATCCAATTATCTATGCTGTCTTTTATGTACCTCTTCTAGTTCACCTAAATGCTTCATATTTGGACTTATATGTTCAGTTTATTGAGAAGTAGCTTCTAACAGTTCATTCACTTCTAGATTTTATTTTTTTTTAATCTTAAACCACATTTTTCTGGTACACATTTCACATCATCTTAGCTGGTTTTGCTGCATGTGTTTACCTGTTAGTTGAGTTTTATAAGTATATTTCTAGAACAGTGGGAAACTGAGAAATTCATTTTAAGCCACTGATCAGTGAACAGTAGTTCCTCGTGAGGAAAATAAACAGTAACTTGCCAACACAAAGCAAAAGGCTATGTCTCGAACACAGCCTGGTCTTCCTTGGCCATGTTCACTCTCTAGTGGCCTGTTGGGTTTATTTGTAGCATAGTGCCCATGCAGTAGTTGTTCTCTATTCTTCTAATGCTACTAAAACATTTTTCAAATTATTCAGGAAAGTGTTTTTAAGCAGTAGCGTTTGTATTGCATTTCCTGACTTCTTTATAAGGATAGTGACAGCTGAACTTCACCCTGCTTTAAGGCCAGAGAGAATCAAGTCAAACATCTGTTATACCTTTCATTTTCAGTTCTGCTCTCAGATGAAGCCCCTCAGCCATGAGCTTTTATGTGTATGTACATCTAGAACCTTAAAGTAATTGTACAGAATACAAACTCCTGAAAAACTGACAAACAGATACTTGAATTAGAAAAGTAAGGAAGAAGTCCTAAACCGGTCATAATACCTTAGTGCTGCAGTGTTTCAATAGCAAACAATGGACATTTCAAAGGTCATGAGGCCTTGAAAAAAGGCAGAATAACAAATTAACCCTTTTCTGCAGGAGTACTGCTGGCCTGCCCTCATTCCTGGGAATTGCTTGGATTTTTTTCACTGGAGATCATCTGGTTCTTAAAGAGTCATAACTATTCACAAGATAGAATATTAGAAACAATAAGTCTTCGAGACAGAGCTGCCTTAGTTGTTAAACCGGTTTGTTTTGTCCTTCTTCCATTTTATTAATCACTTACCTTCATCCATGGTAATTTCATAAAATGCAAAGTTGTTCTCTTCCAACGAGGAACTATCTTTTGGAGTTCAGAGCAGTATGGTTTAATCACCCCAACATCAGCCTGCTAATATTTCCAAGGGTAGATTTAGATCTGATATCAAACAGAGTTGCTCCATAGTATTTTTAAGATGTTAACTTGAAAACAATGATGAGTTAAAGTTTGTTTCTGAATCTATCTCAGTCTTTTTGTTAACCTTGGACT